GCATAAACAGTTGTCTTATAGTCTTCCTGTGGTTTGTTAATTTTTGAACTTCAAACCCCATGTTTTACATGACGGGGAGTTTTGTCGAAATAATCTTGTAAGAGACATTTACATGCAGTTTTGCTATGTATTGTTCAATGCTCCAGTGATTAGTCTTTAAATTTTGAATGTAATATTATCTTCTCAACCTTGTAACAGAAATTGAGGCACTGGATGCGAAAAGTGCACTTCTCGGTTGCAGTGTTTCAGAGTCTCCTCTTATATTTCATTCGTTTCAAGGAGTGTGAATGCATCCATTTCACTAAGAATTTTACTGAATATTCGTCATGGTATTGCAATTTTCTTTGAAAAAAATTCTGGAAAAATCACATATTAAATTCTTCTCCAATTGATTAATTAGCAACAGAGATTCTGAAACACCACAATCAAGAAGTGCCCTTGCCGCATCCAGTGCCTCAATTATTCTTTCCACAATTTTAGGCGAGAAGAAATTATTTGAAGAAAAATGGTCAAAACAGGTGGAGGTAGAAAGTCGCTGCATCTGATTTTGGTGATAGTTTTCCCATTAGCCATGAAGTGCTTCAGGTTCAAAACCTCAGGAGTAGCTATAAAGTTTAGACTATCTTTTTTAAAACAGTGCTATTTAGGACTATGAATGATAGACAGTTCTTAACTTAAAACCTAGGGAAAAGGAATTAGGAAAAACTAATGCTGTACCCTCGCTTTTGTTACAAAAGAGTAATATGTTTAAAAATGATAGTCATGTCATCCTGAGAACAAACATTGTATTTTAATTATATACTTACTGTATTCTGACAAAATGCTGTATTTATAAGGAAACCAAACACCTAATATGTATCCCTCATATTTTGAAATTGACTATAACACATTATTGCGAACTCAAATTGAAAAAAATGGAGCACAGTGTCAGTGGGAATCACGTTTTCTTGAAATAGAGTTATGTGTGGAAGTTAAATGTGAAATATTGGAATGAAATCACTGCATTTTTGCTGAGGATGGCAGAGTTGTTCCATTTTAAAGTTCTGGCACTTCATAATATTTTTACATTTGAGGCAAATATTTTACATGTAACCTGTTATTTTTTCACTGTATCATTGTCGTTATGATTTCACCATTAAAATCAATAATTTTTTATCTGTTTTTAGAATTCATTTTTCTCATCTCTATTAGGACGTGCAAATAATTGAAAATAAAAAAGAGATTAAAAATTACAGAATAACGGGGTAGTAACACATACACCTATGTCCTGAACGTTTGAAAGTTTCCATTCCATATTAAGTCTATTCATGAACAATGTTATTCTATTTTTTGACATGAAAGAACTGAAGCACTACATACTTATCAATGGTGAAGGTCGAAAAACACATGTCGCATTTTATTTTTTCAAAGCTAATGAACACTATTTCCTGGAATTTTTTCTCCATCCTAAACAAAATATTCTGTGGAAGTCTCGGAATAAAACCGTTTTTCTATTTTTTTTTTTTCGAAAAAAAAGGAGATTTTTATTGGTCATGATTGAGGCTTACGTTTTTTAACTTTCACTAGATATGCAATGTCACTCTGTGTGCATATAGAACCACATGTACATGTTGCCAAATTTTCTGGAAGAAATTCCGTTTCAAGTGGAAAACTAATAATTTTTTTTTTTCCCTTTTTTTTCTTAATATCAATTTCAGGGAATAAAATCGATCAAGTTTTTTATTAAAAATAGTTGTCTATTTTGTCTAGAAATCTTCAAAAGTTTTTGGTTTAAATAATGGGGTTCCTGAATACCTACCTACTCTCAGAGTTAACTCATCAACCCATATTTGTTTTATTTACAGGAACCCCTGGATTAAGGAGTTCACACTCGGAAAGTTTTTTTTTTTTACTTTTTTATCTTCTCTAATTCAGGAGATTTCTACCGTTGAACATCTCTTTGAAACATCCTCTGTAGCTTCAACCTTTTCGAGGCATGCCACCACAGCGATAGATAATCAAAGTTGATGAGTAAGAGTCTGAATTAGAGAAGAATTTTTAAGTCTGTGATGTACCAAAGATTGTATTTAATTAAACTTCTGTGAAACATGTAAGCACTCACAAGTTTTTAGAAATCAAGAATACAAATTTAGTCCAAGAATACATTATTTTATGAATATTCAGAAATGGAACTCAATCGATTATTTAAGTAAGTACAAATCATTCATTCAGAGAAAGAAAAGAAATCAAAACTGATGAAACAGACTTTATTTAAAAAATAAACCAATATTTACAGAAAAGACTTTAAGTCAGACTAGATTGAAATTTTATTCTCAGCATATTTACTTGGATATATTTTATCAGACCTGGGCAATTTCGTGGCTTATTAGTGATGGTTGGTAATTTGCTAGGACTCTACTAACATACCATGAGCTCATCTCTTAGGGCCTAGAACAGAGAATTCAGTCCAATAACAGGCTTTACGCTTAGGTATATATTAATAAAAACAATATACAAGCCATCAAACAACCATCTTCTATTGAGATTAATATTGCCAAAAAAGAAAAAGAAAAAAAAATGTGACCAGATCTGTGCATATGGACCTTATTTTACGGAGAAAGTTTTCTGCAACTTTTTGCGAAGACTTTTAAACCATGCTTTTCTAAAACCGAAGAATTTCTGTCTTGGAACTTCAGTACTAATATCTCCTTAAATTTTTAAGTTTTAGAGTCCAGCTTACACCAAAATTTCCAAACTTTCTTTCTGCAAAAAGTTAAGAAAAATTTTCCCTTGGGAGATATGGTCCCACTTTACAGATCAGGTCACAACTATTAACCTGGAATAGATCGTTATCGATCGACTTATTGTTAGTAAGTCAGGAACATAAAAAAACCAGTGAGGTAACCAGTGAGGAGGAACAATGAAACAATTTTTTAAACATTAATTCTTTAGAAATTGATCCTGTACTGCATATGAATACTGAAATTGGTTTTCCTTTTCATTAGGTATTTCAATTTTATTTATTAGTTGAATTACACTATTTGGACGATTCAGCATAAATTAGGCACCTGGAAATAAATCAATAAAAATGCAATATTCTAAAAGATAAATCAGCCATTTGAACTAAAATTTTTGAATCATGATGTTCAAAGCAATGAGCTCGTGCATTTTCAATATCAAAGGAAGCAGATTCTTTTTGGTCATTCCAAGTATCAATTACTGATGTTTTTGAGTAGTTATTGAACCAATTACTCACCAATAGAAATCTTTGTCTAATGAAGTAAATGTAGATATTGGAGAGGTTCTTGACAGTATGATGGAAAAAATTGGTGACAGCAGATTTCTCTAGTTTCTTGATTTTTACCTCAAAGTCAGAGCAAGCGTCATTCTCTCTTTTCCCCACAGCGTAATACACAAAATTATGGACAATATCAACTGTTTGTGGAAATAAATCTACTTGCTCCTTGATAGAGTAGAGTTTTTGACCATATTCATTATCATATATATCGATTTTAAATTTTTTTTCATCAATTGAGATTATGAAATCATTTTTGAACAGTACATTATCCACAGCATGAAAATACAACTTTAGATTCGTTAATATTTCATTCTTCAAATCATAACTGTGAATTAAAGTAGAGTTCTTGGTATTACTATCGTGAAAAATTCGAAGGGTTATGAATAAATACTTGACATTCATGACTAAGATGCACTTGCAAACATTTCCCTTTGGTTGCGGAACAACAATTTCATTTTGTTTAGAGCCAGACTCTACATCCCAAACATGGATTGTTGGAGTGCGGTCATAAAATGAACCAGCAAAGTAATTGGCATTGGCGCAAAAACAAAATCGGTAATTTTGCATGTACTGTCTTAAAAAATACTCATTGTACCACTCCGTAATATCCTCTTGATTTGGAATGGACTGACTTTCTTCCTCTGGGCGATCAAACAACCGCCGAAATTTCAACCTAAACATTGGCCACATGTTTTGTTTTTGATATATTTGCAATAAATTGTACTGCACAACCGTGACATAACTTTCAGTAAACTTGAAATAAGTGGCATGAGAGTGGTGGTCTATAGAATAAGTTATTGAGCCAAGCTCAATTGGTTTTCCCGTTATATCCCAAACAGTGAAAGAGTTGCCACGATATGGATTCTGGTCGAGTAAGAGATTCTCCTGGCATTCAATGTGTCCAAATTCACCCGCGAACCCCTTGCGAAACTTGAATGCAACAAAGTTACCAGTGCTCCAATTACAGTCTAGGAGGTTTTGCAGCATGCAATGTAGGCGAGATTCACACAATCCAGACATTCGGTAGCTTTCATTGGTTGGCAGCGATAAGAATGGCTCGACAAAGGAGCATGAGTCCAAAATAAAGTTGGAGCTACAGTTATTTCCGATCCTCGAGGCAAAATGTTTATCATAGAACCATGACCATATTTCTTCATTATTGAATGCTTCTCTCCATGCAACAGAGACCCGTGAACAATTACACACATCCTTGAAGTTCAAATAGTGACAAATTTGTGTCAAAACATTCACTGGGAGGCATGATAAGTCACAGCTCATTATAAAGACGGAGTTTCTTCCTGAGTGAGCGATTGACTCCTATAACACAATTAACGACAAAAAGTACATGAATTCTGTGCAGAGAAATATTTCTTTTACTTCATCACTCGAGGAACACTTATTTAGGGCTAAAATTTCAGAATGGTTCACAAAACTGACTAATTGCGGGGCAACTTGAATCTGGTGAAATAAATGGATAATTTAAAAAACTATGATGAATTGAAAAAATTTCGAACTTTCCCACTTTCATGGCAGATGATCTGAAATTTACAAAAGTTAAATTGCAAATTTTCCGAAAATAGCAAATTATCACGATTTAATTTATCATTTATCAGTATTATTGATAAGAATTAATGAGGGAAACGTAAACATAACCTCAATCACTCGATTATTTGATTTTTGAGGTTATATTTTTGTAAACAGCGTGTTATCTCGTTATCTGGCTGCTCGTCCTCAGCTCAGAGGTTTTCGAAGTAAGTTTCGCATTCCTTAGGTTTTTTAATTATTACTCTCTTCGCAGAACAACCCATCGAAACGAATTCCAATCGAACTCTTTCTATTTCTCGCAAAGAATCAAGTGACAGTCTCACAGTCAGTCATCACTGGATTGACTAGAGCACTTCAGAATAGCACCTTCTTTCATCACCTGAATCCATCTCAATTTATTGCCCTGAACGTAGAAACAAAGTAGCTTACCTAAATGTTCTATCAGTATAATGAAATTTCCTAATTCTCTGAAGATAGTGCAAGATATTCAATCCACTTTTGAACGGTGGAATCAAAACAAATTCTTTCGATACGCTGCTCCTTTTGTTTTACTCGTCGTTGGTTCGTCTTTTGCGCTCAAGAATTTCACATCATTAAGGTTTGTATGTTTTGTATCTTCTTATCTACTTTGATTTGAATTTTGTGTGGATGTTGAGATTATGAAGCGTCCAAAGCTATTGTCTGCAATGCAACTTCGATCTTCTACACGTATGGTTTCAGTCTTAGGCTTCTACAATGTGGTGAAACAAATAAATTTTATATTGTATGATCTTGACTTAATTTTGTATAGGATGAGAAACACTTTTCAGTCAAATAAAAATTCTCAACAATGTGCAATTGCTAAAATAAGTATTTTTGTAGTCCCTACTCCTAACAACTGTAAGTGTAAATTTTCCGTGTGATTGAAAAGATTCATCCCCTTAATTTTTTAATTCAGTGCCAAAACAAAGATGGCAGATGTATGGTAGCCTAGAAGTATGCAAACTTAAGTAATTGTCCAAGGCTCTAACTCCCCCATACTGTTAGAGGCAATTGTGCGAAAGTCATTCAGGGACTTGTTTCCAAATTCGTACTTCATGTACTTACAGAGCTCCTACATTATTGTGTATGTAAATGTTTTTGAAGTAAATGCAAAGAAAAAAATGACTGAAAATCTCTACTTACCCTACAGGGCTTAGCTTTGTTCATACTTCTGACTTGTGTTTTTCTTCATGTATTGATTAGTTTCTAGTTCTTTTTAACTTCTTTAATTTTTGCCTTTTAGATATGAGTATCGTTCAACTGCAAAATTGGATCCCAAAGAGTTCGAAGCGAAAGGAATCAAAATGAAACCACCAGGATCCGTTACTTTGGAGTCTGAATACGAAAAACTGAAGGAAGTAAGTAGAATACTTAAGCTGCCAAAAAAAGGTCTAAGGCTCGTACTGATGAATTTGATTTGTTGAAGATAATGTTTTGTTGATTCTGTTGGAAATATCTCATTGCAGAATGTGTCCAAGAAATGGAATCCTTCTTGAACTTTAAATAGGTTATTGAGAAGCCTTACTGAAGAAAGAGCAGTCCCTAAACTAATTCATTTTTTCTCATACTTATTGGAAGTTAAAATTTTAGTAATCTATTTAAAAATTATGGTTTCCCTTCTTGTGAATCTTATCACAAAAATGCGCAAAATTTCATTGAACTTGGTAATTTATGCCGTTAGAAAATATAATGCACCTAAGTAAGTATGTAAAATAGGAAATCAAAAATTGCAGTGAGCCAAAGCAAGCAAGAGTCTGTCATATTTTGTGGAACAAATTATATATGTAATGTATCCTTCCTAAAAACCTATTTTTATTTTGTTTTACATAGAGCTGCCCTATTTGTTAGCTAAAGCAATGTTCTCCTACTTACTTGAAGCCTACTTCGGCTGCTACATTCATAAATTTGACTTTTTTCAGCTCGATTTGGAGAACTGGGAGCAAGTTCGAGGTCCAAGACCTTACGAGGATCCCTCTGAATTTGAAGAAACCAAACGAAAACAACAGGAGAAGAGAGCTGCTGAAAGGCAAAAGAAACGAGAACAACAGGAGTTAGCGGTGAAAAGAGGCCGAGGTCAACTGGAGGAGTAAGATTGATACTGTGATTACAATGGAACATGATTCGACAACCAATTTGAACCATGAATCAAACTGCTTGCAACGTAAACTCCTTCCAACTAATTCGAGACCTTTTGTTCAAATGAGTTTGGAGGAATTGTCCCTAGTTCAAGACCTTTTTTGCTGGACAAATACCAAAGTTCGTTGTATCGGTTATCTAGTGGATGCAGGCCCCAATTTACTCTTGCGTAGTTGTGCAGAAGCTTCCGGTCAGTTTGAGATCAAAGTTGATGTATCACTAATGGAAAGGATTCCCCCCTCGGGAATTGTCATTCAGCTGTTCGGAGAGATTTGTCTGAGTGAAGCTAAAATTCCATTCATAAGAGGTTGTTTGTACAGAAAATTTGAGTCAGTAGATCTAGTTCGTTATAATCGTGCGATAGATACCATTAACAGGTATTTTCCCTGGAATATAGATGTGAATGCAAGAAAGAAAAATCATCAAAATGATGAGGGGAATGAAATATTAGAATATTGAAAGTTATAGAGTCAGAAAATTATCTTGAAGCTTTTGAAGAGTTGATTAGGATCATTTTTTGGTAATACCTGTGTCTGAGTTATTCTTTAATTATTGATTTTCTGTTTCCAGAAAGAAAAAGAGTAAAATTTTCGATATTAGTCTAATCTAAGTTCGTTTCTTGTAGTTGTTTTTAATTTTTTCCACTTTTATTTTTAATAAAAAAACCCTCTTTTTTCTGTAAACTGTCTTTGTTTTTTCTGTCATTTGTACAGTAAAAGTAGCAAGCAATATCAACAGACCCATCCCTCTCCCTGCAGATATTCACTTCTCATGATGGAAGTAATAAATCTATGGCAATGTGTATTTTCCGTATAGTGATTTTCTCCAACCAAAACTCGCTGTGCTGTGCTTTACTGATTGAAACCAAACCATTCTAAGATGTTTAGGAGTATCAGGGATCCAATCATGCATTTCTAATTCCCTCTCACTTGCAAAAGGCGCGGCAGTGCAAGTCTGAAAAGTTGACTTAATACGGACGATCCCCTCCTGCTACACCACCCCATTTGTGTATTACAATCAATTGGTGTTGAGGATTTATTAACAGATCACACGGTCGGTACCCAAAAACATATCCTTTCGGAAAAATAATTCACTCATTTTTTGTCGGTTTTATGGTCTTATCATGTGACGGGGATCTTTAAAATTCTAAGTACTTTAAAACATGTGTACATCTCATCATTCACCAAGTGTGAAGTCCTACACCTCAGGTTCATTCGTTTCTTGTTACGACCAGGGCCGGATTTAGGGGGTGGCCACATGGGCTGCAGCCCATGGCGGTAAATTTAGTGGCCGGCATATTTTGCAATTTTTTTAAATGTAGGCATGAAAACAAATCGGATTCAGAAAAAAAAAAATTACAAACGAGAAAAGGCGACAAAATCTCTCATTTCCAGAGAGTATAGTAAATTCTAATTTTGTCGTCTTTCAGTGATACAAGAGACAGCACCTTTAATTAGTCAAGTTAAGAGAGAAACCGAACGCAATTTGGCCTGGAACGGCGCGGCGTAAAGGGCAATGATGACAAGGACTTGATATGAAAAGGAGAAGCCCTCGGCGTAGCGGTCGGCATGTAACACATATTAGCGCCTACAAGACTGTATGAATACTTCACGCATTGCGTCAAACATCGTACGGTCGGCGCGGCGCGGCGTGGAACGCCTAGCGCCTACGAGACCGCAAGAATACTTCACGCATTGCGCCAAATACAGTGCGGTCAGCGCGGCGCGGCGCTGCGGCGGAAGTTAGTTTGTTCTTTCATTCTTTTTTCGTTCATTTCTTATAAATGGAAGGCCTTGTCCACACGGAGATAGGTTTACGGAACTTGACTTTCGCGCAAAGTTCCGTGAACTTTTGCTAGTAGTGTTGATAGGGCTTTCGAAAAGAATGTGTCCAACACGAATAAACGCATCTTATGCATCCCTCCCCCTCCGGCACTTCGCTTGATGGTTTTTATTGATGTTTCGGATTGCTCTTGGGAAATTTTTCGTGCGTAGATTCGAATTTTCCGCGTTTTTAATTTGGAGCAAGCTCGAACCTGATTGGTAAAAAATAGGTTGTTCTCATTGGTGGAAGCTAGGTTCTCCTCATTGGTCCAAAATGACGTCACTTTGTTTCGGCTGAAAAACGTAACAACTGATAAGAAGTAAAGTCATACAAGACTTGTTTACTTACTTTAAATTATCCTCTCAAGTCCAATCGGGTAGCCGTGATTCTACAACATTCCATGACTATCTTTTCATTACATTTGTGTTGCATGTTCTGAGTTTCATGCTCTAGTCTCCTAAAGTCTCGTGAATTGCAATATATCTTGGAAGTAGTAAATATTGTGTCAAAATGGAAGTGTTACGGTTGTATCATCATCTGAACAAAGGGTTGGGACATACCTCATCATACCTCCTAAATCTTTTCACAAAATTAGAGGTGGATCTAGGAAAATACCATGTAAGTTGTTAGTTCTTTTGCCCTCCAATCAAATTTTCTTCCCTACTATTAGCCGTACCAGCGCGAATGTTCACATGAATGCCCTTAGGGATTGCGAGGTGGGTCAGAAGAGCTCACTAAGCACCAAGGGACTTTCGCAAGTCAGCAATTTAGAGAAACCTCCGTAAAATTGCCAACCAGTGGTTCTTTGTAAGCTTTTCTTAAACTTGCATTTAAAGTGATGCTGGGGGTACAAAGTAGGTATGAGTGAACTTGTCTCACGAAGGAGGATTTCACATTGCCGAAAGAAAAGGGAGGTTTCATTGTTTCCAAAAAGTAAAATTTGTGTGTAGAAGGCTCTCTTTAAATCCAGGAATTTTTTAGATGAAAGATCTAGAAGTTAGTTAAACATGCAGCCCTTCTTAGTTTTAATGTTAAAACAGCTCTGAATTTGGTTGTATGTTGGTTTCAGCACTGCTAGGCTAGTCTGGTCATAGAATAATAGCTACCATAAAGGTAACAGGCAGATTTTCCTGCAAGATCGCACATAGTCACCTTTTCAAAGTGGACTTTGCTCTGTTTCCTCGTCTAATTTGAAACTACAGAGAGAAGTAGGGTGAGAGTGGCCGGGCTGTATTCCCATTCCCTGCGAAATTTGTAACGGCAGGCTGAGTGGGGGTTGCTGGGATTTCCAGAATCGGAGTAAAGATGGCCACTGCTGGCCTTCTGGTAGCTATTATTATTTTATGGTCCAATGACTGTTTCTTGAAAGAGGGGGGAAGGGGGGTCAAGCTATCATGATAAAGAGGATGAGAGTCCCTCCTGAAAAATGTTCAGATCTGTTGCAATCAGAAAGCAATTTCAAGCTATGCTCCATATTTTCTAAGCCGATGGGTAAAACTTGTTCTAAAGAAGAACAAAAATCATGAAACTTTTCAAGTTGGTAGTGCTGATGAATATAGTTCCCTGCCATAAAAATAGAATCTCTCATGAAAGCTTCCAATTTTTAAACTGAAATAAATGTGTTTTTAGTTTCATCTGGGAATAATGATGCTAATATGTCTCTCCCTTGCACTTTTTATTTTTTCAATTGATATACTTATCATTGTTTCTTTTTTTTCAGAATTTATTAGTATTCTGCATACCAGCAATTTTGTTTGGAATGTTAATGGGGCTCATTGTGATGTTCGTCAGAAAATATAAATCCAAAGGTAAGTGTCTCTATTTTTCCTCACTACAGACAAGGACAAGAGTCCTCTAAGTGCATTGGCTTTTTTAAGTTCATTTTGTCTATTTTAAGTTTACAATTTCAAATATAGTGTACGTGTTCAATGCTCTGTATTATTCAGTTTTTATGTCAATTTTTTTCACCTCTTTCGGTTTCTTTCTTAAATTTGATTTTACTTTCTTTTTTTTCCTCCTTCCACCGTATTTCTTCGATCGTTACTTTTTGAGTTTTTCAAACATAGACTCTCACAATAGCTATTAAATTTGCAGATAGCTGTAGTTAGTTCTGACACACAAGTAGATAATTCCTCCAATTTAAGATACCTTCTGAATCCGAAAGACAGAAATTCTCGGAGTAATTTCTCTTACTGTCAGTAGGATAGCCATTATTATAAGAAAACTAAGTTTTACATCAAGTTCATCCCACTTATTTTTATTTCATCTACTCATCTAATTGTGCCTAGTTTTGACAAAATACAACCAACCCCGAACATCACTAATATGTAGGTGAAGTATGAGACTATTAAAGTGCAGAAGTTTCAATTCTGGTTTCATGCTTTGATACAAAGATTTGAGTGAACAGCATAACCCGTGCGTCAGATAAGTTTTAAGTTAGATTAACACTTGTTTTTGCAAGCAGTGTCCAGTTTAATTTTTTATGCATTTGTGGGCAAAAAGATAGGTAATCTAATTTTTCTTCTTCACATTTCAGAGTTCCTGCCAGAAGTTAAGCAGTTTGTTGGAATAGGTTCAGGAAAACCTAGATTCCGCAAAAGGGATAGAGTTCTATTCTATGGTCGAAAAATGTTAAGAAAGGTATGAGCTCCTGCATCAATTGTGTTTGTCTTTTGCATATATGATCGTTCATCCAATGGATCCCTGGAAATCTCTAGAAATCCTAAGTAAAAATGATCATATAATTAACGATTTTATTGAGATTGTACATAAAGAATCTGAAATGCTTGAAATGTACCTGTAATTAATTTTATTGAGGATAAATGGATGAATTACATGGAAATCAGGCTAACTGCATTTCATGGCACCTAATTTTCTCTCTTGTCATATTTTTTTAACAGAGAACTAAACTACTTAATGTCTTTGAACTCTCTGTGCATTTACTTTAGGTTATGAAAAATATACTCACAAAATTGCAAGTTTCANTATTCTATGGTCGAAAAATGTTAAGAAAGGTATGAGCTCCTGCATCAATTGTGTTTGTCTTTTGCATATATGATCGTTCATCCAATGGATCCCTGGAAATCTCTAGAAATCCTAAGTAAAAATGATCATATAATTAACGATTTTATTGAGATTGTACATAAAGAATCTGAAATGCTTGAAATGTACCTGTAATTAATTTTATTGAGGATAAATGGATGAATTACATGGAAATCAGGCTAACTGCATTTCATGGTACCTAATTTTCTCTCTTGTCATATTTTTTTAACAGAGAACTAAACTACTTAATATGTTTGAACTCTCTGTGCATTTACTTTAGGTTATGAAAAATATACTCACAAAATTGCAAGTTTCAGCATTACTCAATTTTCTGTTATAACAAATAAAACAGAGAAAATTAGGCAGCGCTTGATGTAGTCATTAAAGTAGCTTCCGAGTACTTGAGTTTATATGCATGCCACTCTCCATTCGAGGAACTGGAGCAGTGATTATTATTTGCATCATTCCTTTGAATTTTGCATATGCTATATCTCAAATATAATGATCAATCTTTACAACAGCTCATTTTATCAAATGGTCAGGTATTCAGCAATTGTATAAACAAGGAAAAACATTTGAAAATGTGGCCTGAACTTTATGCAACAAGGTGGTAAAATAGTGCTTGGTCCACACTGTTCCGAGGGGAAAACAAGGCCAAAAAGAGGTTGTTCCATCCCCCATTAGATTTGGCCCCCTATCAAATATGATCCATCTTTTCAGGAGTGATACAGTAGCATGCGAGACGTTCAAATATGGCGGTCATTTTTACTTAGGCCCCCCCAGAGAGGGGGAGCGGGGGGTCAAAGACAAAGCCTTCAACTGCCTATAACTTTTGAGCGAAAAATCGGATTGAGTTGAACTTTTTTTTAAATGAAAGATCTCAAAAAGATCTATCTGCTGATACCAGAAAAATTGAAAAAAAGTTACATTTAATGCAAATTTTTAGCAATTTTTCGATTTTTTAGGAGACAAAATTTTCAATTTTGTCGTGTTTCGGCACCGCGCAATGACTCTATTAAAACAAAAACCAGTTTTTTAGATTCTACACTCAATTTCCTATAAGATGCAAAAATCCGCATCTTGGGGAAACGTTTAGATCGCGAGCTATGGCTCGTCAAAGGTAGCCCCGCGCTGTTCGCATATCCTCCACGCGTCTGCCACCGATCCTGTTGCCCCTCCTCCCCCATACTAAATGCAAATTAACATTCTACTACCCAGCTTTCGTATANTTTTTTTTGAGGGACACAATTGTTTTACGATGCCATATTATTTACAGGAGAGTAACAAGACTAGCTAATTGGAAAGAAAGAAAAAACAGGCGTGAGGAACGAAAAGAAAATGTGTTATTATTAAATTTAGGAACATGAGTGAAGAAAAGGAATTAAGGGGCCAATAAATCAATTTTTCAAAAAAATTGAAATTTATGAGGCCTTTTGAAATTTCACTGAAATTTCACATGAAATTTCAAGGGCGAACTCAGGTTATAACAAATAAAACAGAGAAAATTAGGCAGCGCTTGAGGTAGTCATTAAAGTAGCTTCCAAGTACTTGAGTTTATATGCATGCCACTCTCCATTTAAGGAACTGGAGCAGTGATTATTATTTGCATCATTCCTTTGAATTTTGCATATGCCATATCTCAAATATAATGATCAATCTTTACAACAGCTCATTTTATCAAATGGTCAGGTATACAGCAATTGTGTAAACAAGGAAAAACATTTGAAAATGTGGCCTGAACTTTATGCAACAAGGTGGTAAAATAGTGCTTGGTCCACACTGTTCCGAGGGGAAAACAAGGCCAAAAATTTGAGACCTTACAGTATCTAATCTGTCCTGCTCTGATACTCATTAGATCTCAAATTTTTACTCTAATTGAGATTTGTGAACTTTTTGACCTTGCTTGCCCTGCAAAATAGTGTGGACCCAGCACTATTTTACCACCTCCTTGCAACTGTATGAAGAGGCCGCACAATTAGGCCAAATTTTCTCGCAAGTAGAAAGTTTGAATGATAAATAAAAAAAGTGCTGATTTTCAACTAGTAAAATGAATTTGATAATTTTCAATAATCAGAACTTTGATGAAATTGCATGTATTAATTGTTATACATAGTGTCTCACTTAGTTTAGTACTCTCTCGTAAAGGAATTGTTGTAAATGAATTCTCTGCATAATTAAACTGTTCAAAACTAACCCTTTTGCAGACTTCCATAGCCTTTAAAACAAGGAGAAGATTGAGCATTATTATTATAATAATTACCTAACTGGGAAATAAACTCTGAATGAGAAAGAATTTAAGTTTCCATTAGCAGAGGGTGTACTCTCAATACCAATGATTTTCTGGTTTGATTTTTAGATGAGATATCTATCAGGTCAGGTGCGTGGTGGCCAGGGTAAGAAACGGAAAATGGTCATGAAATTTGCACGAAAGCTGTTACGCATGAAGAAAGATAATCTGCCACCACAACTGAAGGTGAAGCTAACTTTTTTACTTCCTTTTTTTATGTTTCCTGCTTGTACTGAATAACCTTATGTATTTTCTTCTTTTCCTTTTGAATATGTGGACTTACGTGAACCCAATTGTTACTTCAATTTGTTCTCATGTTATGCTATTCTTACAATGATACCGTGGTTGATTATTTGGGGGAAAGAAAAGCTCTCACTTACAAAATTTTCTAGTACACTGTACTTAATTTTATGCTTAAACACAAAAATTGGAAAATAAACTACAACTTTGATTCATCTGGTAGAGGCCAGAGCCAGTTGTCATGGGTTCATGTCTCCTGCTTTTGACAAATCGTTAGTCAGCAATAAACGCGTCTTTCTATACCAGTGTAAGAAACTTCTGCCCTCCAAAATCAGTTGGGTTATCTATCAGAAACTTCCACAAACAAGCCTCCAAAATCCCTTTGTCCTGTTATGGTTCTTACTTTATGAAGGCTACAAGAATCAGTGATTTCTCATGCCTGATTGCCTGCCAAGGATGCCCAAAACGCCTGATCTCTCCATTCTGAGAACTGATTTAAGTCTGCTGATTCAAGTTTTAAGCTGTTTTATTGACGGTTGGGTCATATGGCCACTGCCAAAGGAGATGACAGGTTTTAAAAGGTTCATTATTTGAGAAAAGGGGTCTCATGAAACATTTTTCTGTGAAAAGGAATATTTTTCCATCAGACAAATTTGAAATTTGACTGTGAGGCAAAAACGCCAAATTGCAGACAACAATTGGCATTGAGGACCTTTTTTGCATCCATGGTCAAATTTTATTTTAAATGTTTTTTCTTCAACTGCTCTACGACTATGATGTTTTGTAATAGTATCTAATGTTAAGTCTAAAAAAATCTGTAGGCTTAAAAATAGGTGGAAATGTTGACAATCAGCTTTTCATCAGATTTTCAAATCCTGATTGACATAAGCTAAAAGAGATTAAGACAAATCAAGATTACCAAGAGATCGCTTTTTGGGTGTTTTTCACAGCTGCACTGGCAAGGAGAACCCATCAAAAATTTCAAAACCAAAAAATATGAATGAACTGTCATTGACAATAATATAAATTCAAACATTGATCATTTTGCTCTCATTCACCCAAAATAAATGCTCTCATTTTTTTTCTCTTAGGTTTTAGAACCTCCAGCAGAATTTTTGCAAGAGGATATCTCATCAGATGACAAACGAGTACCATCTGATGCTTTTTATATGTTAAGAAGTATAAGGTAAGATATTAATTTATTTTTCAAAATAAATGTTTTATAGAAACCAGTCTTTCTAATGCTGCCCGTTTAAGTCCAGTGTGGTTTGATTCCCAGCCGATGGAGTGTTTAACAGTGCCTTAAAAACATTTAGAAAACCATCCAAGAAATTTTGGCTGGAGCATTTTAAGGTTTTTTAAAGGTTGTCTGCACAAAATTTCAGCAAAAGTAGCAGATTTGTAGAGCTTGCACATCGGCTTTTCCTAGCCTTGATGGTGTAGTGGTCAAGGCAGGTCACCGCCAGCACTGAGGTCTTGGGTTCAATCTCCAGTGATAACAGGTATTTAAACAAACTTGAAAATCCATCATCATGGCTGCGGATAACCATGCCACTTCAATACCCCACCTTGTCCCTCAGAGGTGACAGGTGAGGAGGGACATGGCCATTCAGTACAAGGATGTCCACACCATTCTGCTGTCTTGTGCCTAAATTGTAGAGCACTTGAAGCTTGCGCAATTGCCAGTGTCATCCACAGTGGGAGACTGGACCAATGGAGTCAACCCAGTAAGGGCATTACTATGCTTCAAAATGCCATGCTTGATAGCGTTTGCTACAATTATTGAAACAATGTATCGTTGGCTCATGACGTGGTTGCTGAGCCTTGCGTCATAATGAGTCTTGTCTCTGGCGCACCAGAAAAACAAGATAAAGAGCATGGTCCAACAGAAACTCTACCTTTCTTTGCCTCCAGGAGTGAGGGCAACTTGAATAAGGGGGCAGCATGCGGCAAAGAACTTTTATTATTCACAAAATGAAGTCGTGCTGGAATCTGTGCATGGCCTCAAAGGGAAAATAATTGAACATTCAGTACAGCTCTCCCTCTCGCATCACTATGTTGATGTTCAATTGCAGTTGCACTGAATATTTTTAAATTATTTAAAGTTTCTCTCTTTGTTTCAGAATTTTTGGCACTTTTGAAAAACCAATATTTTTAAAGCTTTGTAGTCGCACTGAAATTTTGAAACTTTCAGCTGGAAGTTATCTATTTAAAATAGGCAAGTATTTGACGTTTTTAATCTTTAACTTAACCTTTCATTGCATACGTTTTAGAATCTCTTTGGCCAGTATCTTAAGATGCTTCTTAAAACATTCTGGACTAAAAATTTTAGTTATTTCGCATAAAAGACTAAGATTTCAACGCTTGTGAGGAATTTGAAAGAAATTTCAAGCCAAGAAAATTTTAAAGATTTTCTTACAATTAAATCTAATTATTCGAGCAGGGATTTAGAGCTGAGGTTTGAAGCAGCATCATAAACGGAGCAGCATCGGCGCGCAAGGCGGAGGTCCAGCGCAGACTTTCATGCCGCGTCGAACAGTGCGCTGGGGGATCGCATTTGCCCTTGAGGCGGCTTTGGAGGCTTGACACCCGGCATGACTTTTTGATGCTGGGTCCAGCATCAAAATTGAGGCGGCCTCAATTAGCAGACACGTCGGACGCCAGCGCCCCGGGCCCGGCTGCCGGGCGGCTAATCGCACCGGGCTGTGTTTTCAACCCTTCCTCGGCGTCCACCTCTTAGAACTTCCCAGCGAGGCGTGGACCGCCGCGCCAATGGGAAACGTAGACAAAGGGGTGTTCCGTGAATTCATCGCTAAGTCCAAGGGTCACATACCGCAGCAGTCTTCTGGGTCAGCCCTATTGGTAATTAAGCTGGGCAGCGGGACTGAAAATTGATGCCATATCGGGCCGCAAGCCGAGGGTCCGGCCTCAAAAGTTGAAGCCCATGTTGGTCCCTAAGCCAGCATGAAACCTCAGCATCAGCGCTTAATGCCGGCTCGGTCGGCACACCAGCATTGGGCTTCAATGCCGGAAGCCGGCGCCGGCAGGTTGCGCGCATTAGGCGCGGTGCCGCATGCCCGCACGGCTGCTACCTGGGCATACAGCAATTATGCTGAAGCTACGAGTCGATGCTGTGCGGCATAACCTCATGAGACGCCTCAAATGCCTGTATTCGAGCTGATTAATGAATACTTTTTCATAGTAGATTCTGAAAGCAATACAAACCCAGCCTATAATGTCTTGTGTCATTATTTTGCAACAGCTATTTTGGTAAGTTCCTGGAACTAAGGGAATTTGTGCTTTTATAAAGATGTTTATTTTAATTTAGGGTTGAATTTAAGGTAGTGGGTAATTAATGGATGAGAATACAACTTTCTTCTGGAAGTTTTGTCATAGCTAAAAAAAAAATAATAATAATAGATTTTGAAACAAAGGCTTCAAAAAGGTCATCTAAATTTTTTTCTGATTATTTGTTCAGTTCCTTTCGTGCTAAACTCGTGCAATATCTGTATGTGGTTTGTTGTAACCCCCCTTGGGCCCTTAGAATTAAGATTTTGTATACCTAATCACATTTTTTATTGCAATTCATTCTTGTATTTGCATTTCTTCCAGGTGACCCAGATGAAAACATTTACATCGTGCAAGATGGGAAATTGAATGTAACCATACAAACCCTGGATGACAGCACAGTTGAATTCAAAATAGTGAAATCAGGAGAAAATGTTTTTTCGTTGCTTAGTTTCACAGATGTCCTCACGGTGAGTAATGAGGGGAAAATGTAATTAACTTAAGACTGTAAAGGAGAGAGTAGCTTTCAGTGCTGAATTTGTGAATACTTTAGGTAAGGTCAGGGTATTAATGACTGGCAAAATTGGATTGCATTTTGCAAAAAGGAACCACTAGCATTGCAATGTTGCTAAGATTGTGCAACTTCTTTTGTCTTGGAGGAAAAACCCGATTATCCATTAATAGTTTCTATTTTACTCGCTAAAAACTGTGAATTTAAGACAAAAATTACCATCTAAATTTCATAGTTTTTCACGATTTCCGCAATTTTATTGCAAAGGATGAAGTTGCACAATCTTAGCATCATTGCAATGCTAGTGGTTCCTTTTTGCAAAATGCAATCCAATTGGTCTATTATTGGTTCCATTACATATAAGAGAGTTTAATAAATGTTTTGAGACAAAAGGACACAAAAAATTTCAGACCAAACTGAAAGGTTTGAAGTTAGCAGTTCGTATAAAATAGTTTTTTTTTAGAAAAAGCGATTTAATTTTCTCATACCCACGCCAAGGGTCAATGGTGATGGATCGAAGTGTAACCTTGAGCTCTCTGTCGGCACAAAACTAAACCACTCAGTATTTTGATGTAACGCCGAGCAGAATAGATAGTAGGGAGCGTTTTCATTATAGTCAAACATTAAAGTATAGAATTTTTTACTCAATTTAAAAGAAATTGCTCACCTAAAAAATTTGCTCCCAACTATCATTTCTCACATACAGCCACGTTCGATTTGTGCAGCCTGATTATTGAAATTTATGTCAGCACGACAAGAATCGAAAATCAATATATTACTTGGCACAGATAGGACTATGTCTTGTCTTATCTTTCCAACATAGCCAGTTAAAGTTTCAACAATGAGGCTGCTGGTCAAGTTTTTAAGACACAGTTTTAACTTATTTTTTTTAAGCAGATTAAACACTTCATCAAGGATTGCTTCTTGAGGAAGAATTCTTGCTTTCTGAAAGGAAAGCAGTGCCAAAGGAAAACATCCTATAAATCATTTCCTTTTTAATTTGAACTTCAATTTCTGATTTTGCTTTTTTTAAAATTTCAATACAGAATTCAATTTGAGCACCGGAGGGGGGGGGGGGAGATGAGAACCCATGCTGATTTTCAGTGCAGATGAATGGAGCAAAATATCACATAAATAATCAAGTTAAATTCTGTTTTTTTAAAGGGACGAGTAAGTAAATTTAAATCCGTATCTGCAAGAGCTATTGAAGATTCTACAATTTTGAAACTTCCCATGGCAACTTTTCAAGAAGTTTTCAAAGAATACCCTGACTTCCTGGTGCGTGTTCTCCAGATCATTATGGTGCGGCTGCAAAGAGTCACGTTCACAGCTCTGCATCAGTACCTAGGCCTTAGTGCTGAGCTTTTTGCATCTGTGAGTATGTTCTCCAATCATTTGTAAAATCTCCTCTACCGCTGTTTCTTTGCCTCCATCATGGCACAATCTAATACTCCTGTAAGTGGTGCAGTCATTTAGACCGATCTTTTTTGACTTGAGGTTTTGAGACTGTATTCAGTCTGTGACAATTACAAAGTTGGAGTAAAGTTAGTTCCACTCTAGAAGATTATGGTAGCTATATCTTGGCAGGGAATGACCTTTGAATCAGACAGCTCTCAGCCAAAGAAACCAGTTGCCTTGAAACTGAGAAAAATCGATCTGAAGTTTTATTCCTTTACCAAGGTCCATGTAAAACATTTTTAAGTCAAACTCTTGTACTTAAAATATATTTAGCAAGAAAAAAATGAACTTCCCGACCACCTTTACAATATCCTTATTAATTCTATTCTATTTTAAAACATCAGTTGGTTACCTCTTGCTAAACAGCCAGCGTCTTGAGAAAAAGAAGCCCACTTCAATCAGATTTTCAAGTAAAATATTTAGCTTATGCCACATGTTATGATTGAAAACTTTGTAAGAAAATTTCAATTTTAAAATCGATTGTATGAGCGTACCATGGTTGCTTTGCCTTTGTTTTGCTGTTCATGGTTAATATTTAGCCCTCAATATAGCCAATTATTTGAATTATGCAGCTGATACAGACATTATTAGTGTTACATCACAGAAAGGTTGTGTATCTCTCATTTTTTGGATTAAAGTTGATATGATGTCGAGTCCCCATGGCAACATCTCCACTAATAGAGTGTACTGGGCCGCAGAATCCCCGATTTTTGTAGAAAGACAGAAACTTTGGTATCTTGTTTCGTCTGAGATAATTTTAAAATTTCATTTTCTTCCAGAGCCACAAGAGAAAAATCACTCTCACTTCACCATCAAGACCAAAACATCTGGATATCTCAGTGATCGCAGAAGAATTTCCTACCCAGGAAAATGCAAATAGTAGGTTCCAATTCTCTGGAGTAAAGGTTTTAGTCTATAAGTTTACCATAATGGGCCTGTTGCAAACTTTTGCTAGAGCAAAAATAAGAGTTGTTTCTTATAGATAATGCCTCNTGATGTAGAGTCCCCGTGGTAACATCTCCATAAATAGAGTGTACTGGGCCGCAGAATCCCCGATTTTTGAAGAAAGACAGAAACTTTGGTATCTTGTTTTGTCTGAGGTAATTTTAAATTTTCATTTTCTTCCAGAGCCACAAGAGAAAAATCACTCTCACTTCACCATCAAGACCAAAACATCTGGATATCTCAGTGATCGCAGAAGAATTTCCTACCCAGGAAAATGCAAATAGTAGGTTCAAATTCTCTGGAGTAAAGGTTTTAGTCTATAAGTTTACCATAATTTTAAACCAACAAAAAATCCATCGAGAAAGTAGTTGAACATCAGTGTCTAGTTTACTAACCGTGAACTCTTTTCATATGGAAATAAGATTTTAAACGAATAGGAATGTCATGATTTCCATAGCTTTGAAAAATGTTTTAAAGTAGTTTAAAGCTCTTACATTGCAATCGTTTACTATTGCAACGAAAAGTTATGACCCGCAAATGAGGTCGATTGTGATCTTGTTAACATCTCTCTCTGCAATTCTTTAAATTTTAACAGGAATGAGAATATAAAAAATAATGACATGCCAAACATCATTATTTTAACCCATTTTTTCCTTTTTTTTCAGTTATCCGATAGTTTTCTTCCTTGATAGTATACTCTGTCCTAAAATTAATTTTATCCAACCAAAAAAGAAAAGTTATAAAATTTTGAAATAAAAATAAAAAAGAAGGAAAAAACTTGAAATTTGCAAGATTTTTACCTGAATGTATCTCTGAGCATTTCTCGTATTAGCTCCTTGAGGAAGCATGACTTCCTCTCAATCCAATTGTTCCAGCCTTCATGATAAAATTTTGTTTTTCAGCTGCTAGTGAAAACAATCGTCACCCTCAAGGAGGCTCAGAAATAATGAATTCTAGTCACCCTGTCCGCAGACATCGTCGTGTTGGCTCCTACGGTGTTGAATTCAGTCTACCACCTGATGTGACAGAATCTTCCTCACCATCTCAAAATCTGGTGAGCAAAATTTTTGGATGCACTCATAGCTTACAGCTTTCTTTTAAACTTAAAGCAAATATGTATCTTCATTTTAATTTTCTAATAGAAAAAAATAACTTTAGTTCTGGTTGTATTTACGTTAAACTCGGACGAGTTAAAACTATACAATTCCAATCAGCTACTTTATGAATTATAATAATTTGGTTTTTTCTCCAACAAAGATCATAATTTCAAGCAGATTAAATTATTTTTGGACTTAGAATTTCTCAAGAGAGAAGAAAAATTCTTCATAACAGGATAGAAAAATTCTGAAAATATGTAATCCAACAGCAAGCAAGTTTTCTTATATTTCAATAAAGTGTTACAGAGAATACTGAAAAATATTGAATAGAGCTGTCTTTAAGGACAGAATTAGAGTTGACTTGGATTCAGTCTTTATCAGAATGCTGATAGTGCTATTTAATGAAACTTAGATAGTATCTATCTATCATGCATACATACTGACTTTATCAGTGCATTTTCAGATTACAAATTCATCAGCAGGAAAGATTGTAGCATCAACGTGAATCTTTGTTCATAATAAATCAATGCCACAACAATTGCTTATACATGTACTAATATACTGTTTGTCTTGTTCAAATCAGTCAGGAATGAGGAATGAATACTTGACCCTAGTTTTCTATTTTTTTTATTTACTTATTTCAAAGATGCACCTTTGTAGGCCCTCACAAAAAAGTAAACAAATTTTTTCAATCTAATAATGGATCACATGGTACCCTAAAAATTACATCAATGATGGAACTAGTCAAAAACATTGACAGCCAAAGTGTAAATCCATATATCTACATCATGGTGTTTCAAAATATCCATTCATATTTTATTTTTTCGAAAAGGAACAACCCTACTCTGTAGCTTGAAAATGCAAAATATTCTGCTGACAGAAAAAAAATCAATGAAGTTTCAAGAAATTATGTCGTAAAGCACAACAGGACGTCTGCGATATTCCAAACAAAGATATGTGGTTTCGCACTTCGGCCATTGCTTTGTGGCTTGGGATGCAAATTTTTAGATTTCCTGGAGTATTCTAGAGGTTTTTAGAGTATTCTAGTATTTTTTTAAAGTTAAACCAATTTTCCATATTGTAAATCATTTGAATGGTTTTTCTTTAACTTTTAAGAATATTTATTAAAAATTTATTTTCGTAATTATGAGTCATTTTCTCTCGAAAAAATAACATTTAAGTGGAGTGAGCTTTTCTAGTATAGGCTAAAAAACACAATGAAAATAAACTGCTCATTCCTACATGTGACATGAATTGTGTAACAAAATAAAAATGGACAAATAGACAGAAACGTCCACAGTGTTCTTTGCTTATTCAAAAATCTACAAGAGCTTTGAGAGATTTAAAATTTGAAGATTTTATAAGTGATGTTATGTTTAACACCACAGGCTGCACCAGATATTCAACAAAGTGTTTCGACATCGGTTACCCCACAACCAAAGCCTCATCGAAATGTTGGGGCAGATTTTGGAGATGAAGAGCAAATGTTGAAAAAAGCCTATGAGGGATTGATCAAGGAGCTAGGATTGGAAGATTCTCCGCAATTGCTGGAAGGCAGAGTAGAAATGAGAGATGTCTCCCCTGGCACTTACCTAATGTGTGAAGATTCTCATAAGGTAAGATAAAAGCTCTTTGATAAAATGTTGAAACTATACTGTGTATTTCTTCTCAGTATTTCTGTAAGTTTTCAGTGCCCAAGTACTGTCAAGCACTCTAAACACTCCAAAAGTAAAATCTTGATCTTTTTCATTTGACAAATTCATCGCAAGAGAGTACATGTAGCCTCAGATTTAGTGTCGCCAACATTGCAACTATTTTGAATTTAGCTGCAGCTTTGTTTGTAACATGCTGTCCTTGTCACCACATATGGAAAAAATGAAACAAATAAAATCAAATGAAGAAAAGTTTGAATGGTGTAATTTGAATATTTGCTCTAAATTGTGTATTATTTTGCTCTTACAGGATGTCGCTTTCATCTATTTAATGTCTGGCGCTCTCGTTGTGTCTCAATCTATGTACACGGACCCTGGAAATGATGTCCATTTGTACACTGTCTATCCGGGTGAAGTTGTTGGCGCGTTGGCCGTTGTAACCGGAGAACCAAGCTTTTTCACCGTGCGAGCTAAACATACCAGCTGCATAGCTTTTTTATCCAAGAATACTGTCTTCTCGTGAGTCATTACGTAGTAACTATTTTTCTTATCGACCATTGATTCTTCCCTTGAAAAATTAATTATTGCGCTTGTGAAATTAAAGAAGTCATAGATGTATAAAAATTTCCTAGCAAGTTCTTTCACATTAATTATTTAATAAATGAAGTTTGCTTCATTCTTCACGCCTCTTACGCTCATTATCTACTTTATTTGAGCACACTCAAACTGAGAACTTACCAATGGTTCCACATTGTGACAACGCTTATCTGTTTTAATTTCTATTTTCAAACAGGTTGATGAGAGAACGACCATCGGTAGTGCTTCATTTAGCGCATAGTATTGTTAACAGATTATCTCCGTTTGTGAGGCAAGTCGACTTTGCATTAGACTGGGTTTTCCTTGAAAGCGGACGTGCTGTTTACAGGTAAGAAGAGTTTTTCCTGATCGCAGTGTTTGTAGAGATCATTAATATCAGTTTATTTATCATGAAAAATTTTATGATTGTCATAGTGAAAGGTCAAATTGTCCACCTTACAGATCATCACAAAGTTCACACCATGAGTGTGATAAAAATCATTCAATTTCATCCTTAAGTTACAGAAACTCTAAAGATTGCTGGATTTAGTACTCTTACTTTTCCTTTTTCGCCCGATGTGAATTTCGGTTGTCAACTGAAAACTTTAGACACCGTTTTAAGTAATAAGTGGACAACCAAAATTCACATTGAGCGAAAAAGAAAAAGTGTGAGTACTATGCTGATACAACCTGTTAAAGGAGGGAAAAGAAACATTGTTGGATTTTGTTTAAATTGCGTTATTGAATACATTCTATTTTTCCAGGCAAGGTGACGAATCTGATAGTACTTACGTTGTTTTAAGTGGTAGATTAAGATCTGTAATCACCCATGAAAATGGCAAGAAAGAGCTAGTGGGTGAATATGGTAAAGGCGATTTAATTGGTATCGTAAGTATTTTTCTCCTGTCTCAATAACTTGTACATCTTAGTCCTTTTATTTTGTAATTCATGGGGAGATGAGTAATTAAAAAATAAAAAAAATATTTTTCCACTGATAAACGAAGAATGGAAATTTAGTGAATAAAAAGTTGAAGAGTTCTAAAGAGTTCTATCATTTCTAAAATTTTGATGTGGCATCTATTTAAAGTGTGTNATGGCCGACGCTTGCACGCAGTTCCGCGCGTAATTCAAGGAGAGTTCAAGGTCAATCAATTCGGGCGTGGAAAATATGAACGTTAACACACCGATTGTTATCTGGTCTAATCCAGTTCAGGAGTTATCTCGTCCCATCAAACGTGTTTTGGCGGATTGGCGTCGGCTATGATGATTATTGCCGACAATGGAACGACTCCTCTTACAAAATGTTCACCTGTGCCGTAGTATCGTTTTTGAAGCGGGAAGCTCAAAAAACCGCAAATTTCTTACGCAGTTTGTGAAGTTATGAGTGCATTTCAGAGTTTGCCGGTGCGCTCATCGTGATTTTTGAGGCATTATCTATAAGAAACAACTCTTAGTTTTGCTCTAGCAAAAGTTTGCAACAGGCCCATTTTAAACCAACAAAAAATCCATCGAGAAAGTAGTTGAACATCAGTGTCTAGTTTACTAACCGTGAACTCTTTTCATATGGAAATAAGATTTTTCAAACGAATAGGAATGTCATAATTTCCATAGCTTTGAAAAATGTTTTAGTGTAGTTTAAAGCTCTTACATTGCAGTTGTTGACTATTGCAACGAAAAGTTATGACCAGCAAATGAGGTCAATAGTGATCTTGTTAACATCTCTCTCGGCAATTCTTTAAATTTTAACAGGAATGAGAATATAAAAAATAATGGCATGCCTAACATCATTATTTGAACTCATTTTTTTCCTTTTTTTTTCAGTTATCCGTTAGTTTTCTTCCTTGATAGTATCACTCTGTCCTAAAATTGATTTTATCCTACCAAGAAAGAAAAGTTATAAAATTTTGAAATAAAAATAAAAAAGAAGGAAAAAATTTGAAATTTGCAAGATTTTTACCTGAACGTATCTCTGAGCATTTCTTTTATTAGCTCCTTGAGGAAGCATGACACCCTCTCTATCCAATTGTTCCAGCCTTCATGATAAAATTTTGTTTTTCAGCTGCTAGTGAAAACAATCGTCACCCTCAAGGAGGCTCAGAAATAATGAATTCCAGTCACCCTGTCCGCAGACATCGTCGTGCTGGCTCCTACGGTGTTGAATTCAGTCTACCACCTGATGTGACAGAATCTTTCTCACCATCTCAAAATCTGGTGAGCAAAATTTTTGGATGCACTCATAGCTTACAGCTTTCTTTTAAACTTAAAACAAATATGTATCTTCATTTTAATTTTCTAACGGAAAAAAATAACTTTAGTTCTGGTTGTATTTATGTTAAACTCCGTCGAGTTAAAACTGTGAAATTCCAATCAGCTACTTCATGAATCGCAATAATTTGGTTTTATTCTCCAACAAAGATCATAATTTCAAGCAGATTAAATTATTTTTGGACTTTGAATTTCTCAAGAGAGAAGAGACATTCTTCATAACAGGATAGAAAGATTCTGAAAATACGTAATCCAACGCCAAGCAAGTTTTCTTATAATTCAATGTAGCGTTACAGAGAATACTGAAAAATATTGAATAGAGCTATCTTTAAGGACAGACTTAGAGTTGACTTGGATTCAGTCTTTATCAGAATGCTGATAGTGCTATTTAATGAAACTTAGATAGTATCTATCTATCATGCATACATATTGACTTTATCAGTGCATTTTCAGATTACAAATTCATCAGCAGGAAAGATTGTAGCATCAACTTTAATCTTTGTTCATAATAAATCAATGCCACAAAAATTGCTTTTACATGCACTAATATGCTGTTTGTCTTTTTCAAATCAGTTAGGAATGAAGAATAATTACTTGACCCTAGTTTTTTATTTTTTTATTTACTTATTTCAAAGATGCACCTTTGTAGGCCCCCACAAAAAAATAAACAAATTTTTCGATCGAACAATGGATCCTGTGGTACCCTAAAAATTACATCAATGATGGAACTAGTCAAAAACATTGACAGTCAAAGTGCAAATCCATATATCTACATCATGGTGTTTCAAAAATATCCGTTCATATTTTATTTTTTCGAGAAGGAACAACCCTCCTCTGTAGCTTGAAAACGCAAAATATTCTGCTGACAGAAAAAAAATCAATGAAGTTTCAAGAAATTATATCGTAAAGCACAACAGGACGTCTGCGATGTTCCAAACAGAGATATGTGGTTTCGCACTTCGGCCATCGCTTTGTAGCTTGGGATGCAAATTTTTAGATTTCCTGGAGTATTCTAGAGGTTTTAAGAGTATTCTAGTATTTTTATAAAGTTAAACAAATTTTCCGTATTGTAAAACATTTGAATGATTTTTCTTTAACTTTTAAGAATATTTATTAAAAATTTATATTCGTAATTATGAGTCATATTCTCTTGAAAAAATAACATTTAAGTGGACTTTTTGAAGCTCGGCTAAGTATTGGGGAGTGAGCTTTTCTAGTATAGGCAAAAAAACATAATGAAAATAAACTGCTCATTCCTACATGTGACATGAATTTTGTAACAAAATAAAAATGGGCAAATAGACAGAGACGTCCACAGTGTTCTTTGCTTATTCAAAAATCTATAAGAGCTTTGAGAGATTTAAAATTTGAAGATTTTGTAAGTGATATTATGTTTAATACTACAGGCTGCACCAGATATTCAACAAAGTGTTTCGACATCGGTTACCCCACAACCAAAGCCTCATCGAAATGTTGGGGCAGATTTTGGAGATGAAGAGCAAATGTTGAAAAAAGCCTATGAGGGATTGATCAAGGAGCTAGGATTGGAAGATTCTCCGCAGTTGCTGGAAGGTAGAGTAGAAATGAGAGATGTCTCCCCAGGCACTTACCTAATGTGTGAAGATTCTCATAAGGTAAGATAAAAGCTCTTTGATAAAATGTTGAAACTATACTGTGTATTTCTTTTCAGTATTCCTGTAAGTTTTCAGCGCCAAGTACCGTCAAGTCCTCTAAACACTCCAAAAGTAAAATCTTGATCTTTTTCGTTAGACAAATTCATCGCAAAAGAGTACATGTAGGCCAAGTAGACTAAGTGTCACCAATATCGCAACTATTTTGAATTTAGCTGCAGCTTTGTTTGTAACATTCTGTCCTTGTCACGACGTATGGAAAAAAATCAAATCTAATGAAGGAATAGTTTGAATGGTGTAATTTGAACATTTGCTCTAAATTGTGTATTATTTTTCTCTTACAGGATGTCGCTTTCATCTATTTAATGTCTGGCGCTCTTGTTGTGTCGCAATCTATGTACACGGACCCTGGAAATGACGTCCATTTGTACACTGTCTATCCAGGTGAAGTTGTTGGCGCATTGGCCGTCGTAACCGGAGAACCAAGCTTTTTCACCGTGCGAGCTAAGCATACCAGCTGCATAGCTTTTTTATCCAAGAATACTGTCTTCTCGTGAGTCATTACCTGAGTAACTATTTTTCTCATCGACCATTGATTCTTCCGTTGAAAAATTAATTATTGCGCTTGTGAAATTAAAGAAGTCAAAGATGTATACAAATTTCCTAGCAAGTTCTTTCACATTAATTATTTAATAGATGAAGTTTGCTTCATTCTTCACGCCTCTTATGCTCATTGTCTTCTTTATTTGAGCACACTCAAATTGAAACCTTTCCAATGGTTCCACATTGTGACAACGCTTATCTGTTTTAATTTCTATTTTCAAACAGGTTGATGAGAGAACGACCATCGGTAGTCCTTCATTTAGCGCATAGTATTGTTAACAGATTATCTCCGTTTGTGAGGCAAGTCGACTTTGCATTAGACTGGGTCTTCCTTGAGAGCGGACGTGCTGTTTATAGGTAAGGAGAGTTTTTCCTGATCGCAGTGTTTGTAGAGGTCAACAACATCAGTTTATTTATCATGAAAGATTTTATAATTGTCATAGTGAAAGGTCAAATTGTCCACCTTACAGATCATCACAAAATTCACACCATGAGTAAGTATGATAAAAATCATTCATTTTCATCTTTAAGTCACAGAAAATCATAAAGATTGCTAGATTTAGTACGCACACTTTTCCTTTTTCGCCAGATTTGAATTTCGGTCGTCAACTTAAAACTTTAGACACAGTTTTAAGTAATAAGTAGACAACCAAAATTCACACTTAGCAAAAGAGGAAAAGTGTGAGTACTATGCTGATACAACCCATTAAAGGAGGGAAAAGAAACATTGTTGGATTTTGTTTAAATTGCGTTATTGAATAAATTCTATTTTTCCAGGCAAGGTGACGAATCTGATAGCACTTACGTTGTTTTAAGTGGTAGATTAAGATCTGTAATCACCCACGAAAATGGCAAGAAAGAGCTAGTGGGTGAATATGGTAAAGGCGATTTAATTGGTATTGTAAGTATTTTTCTCTTGTCTTGTCTCAATAACTTGTCCATCTTAGTCCTTTTATTTTGTAATTCATGGGGAGGTGAGCAATTAAAAAATAAAAAATTATTTTTCTACTTATAAACGAAGAATGGAAATTTAGTAAATAAAAAGTTGAAAAGTTCTGTCATTTCTAAAAATTTGATGTGGCATCTATTTAAAGTGTGTTTCTGCAGGATAATTTTAAAATTTTACTAGGTTGTACTCGTTGGAAATGTTTCAATAAAATATTTTGAAAATTTCTATCTTTTTCATGGATGCTGAGTGACACTTTGATTTAGCAGGATATGCTCATCTATTGTTTTGGATAATGTTGCTCTGTATAAGGGTTATTCTATGTTTTTAGAACCTTAGGTGCCCCCCCCCCCCCCNTGAGCAGCATCACTGTTTTTCTCATCATGTAAGACATAATCATTAAATCCCCCGCAATTGCCTCACTGTTTGCTTTCTCATTGCTGATCTAAAAGTCAGTTGAATTTCCAAAGTTTGTATACCTTATGAATTATATTAATTGATTTTATTTATTTTTCAGGTGGAAATGGTCACTCAAAATCCTCGGAGTACCACTGTCATGGCTGTTCGAGATTCTGAACTAGCTAAACTACCAGAGGGATTGTTCAATGCAATGAAACTGCGATTTCCGATTGTTGTCTCACGTTTGATAAATTTACTGGGGCAGAGAATTTTAGGTGAATAATTTTATCTTATTAAGTCTCTTTTTGAAATTATTAGTGAGAATGTTATTCAATCTTGTTTTGTATAAAAACCATTTTTAATGATGAAATCTCTTGGTGTGATTTTAGGTGCATGGCAAAAACCCAAATTAGCTTTAGCAGCTCCGACTGTTGATTCCACTCTACCGCAAGGAAACTTCTCAACTGTTGCGCTAGTTCCAGCTTCAGATGATGTACCCATTACTGCATTCACTTACGAGCTTTACCATGCTTTGAGCGCAATAGGTAATTAGCACACCTTTCCCTCTCTTTTTTCAAATTCAAAAGTATCAAGAAGTATTGCAGTTTATTCCTCTTTTTGTAAGACTTGTTATTCAGTCAAAACTTTGTTCTTTTTTTCTTGTTTATTGAATTTATATTCCAAGTTCCATTGACTTGGAACAGAGATTAAATGGGTTTGAAGCTTCGCTCTTGCTCATTATTGAAAATAATCTTTTACTTAACTTCCAGCAAAGTAAATATTTTCAAGGATATTGGATTTATGGCAGGAGAAACCAACCCTCCAGATCAACTCAAAACTTTCCCTAACTCAATTCTTTGAAAATTTCACTACTACCCTAATAGTTTTGGACATTTTGAGACTTTGTAATGCAGACATGCCTTGCTGTGTAGAAACCACGTTTGTGAAAAAGATCGTTTTGGTTGAGCGGATATGTATTGGATGAAAAATTCTTGGATGAAAGTAATGAGAATTTTGCTGTGTCAAAATTAGCAATAAATGGGCTATTTCTGTGGTAAAGCTTTTTTCTGTCCCTTTGTGATGTAAGATTCAGTTCAGTTTCTGAAAATGTCTCTCTCAATTGCTTCCTAGACCAAGTTTTTCATTTTTTTTTCAGGTTCAACTGTAAGACTGACATCAGACGAGACCAAAAAAATTCTTGGAGAGGGCATTTTTGAATCGAGTAATGAGTATCGTCTTACTTCTTGGCTGGCTCAGCAAGAAGATCAGCACCGAGTCGCTTTATATCAGTGCGACTACACATTTACTCCCTGGACTCAAAGGTGCACTCGGCAAGCTGATTGTATTCTAATTATCTGTCTAGGAGATAAGCCACCCAGCATAGGCAAGGTAACGTATCTAAAATAATTATTTTTATTTGCTTTGTGGTTACAATGAAACTTTTGGTCGAAAATCGGCTGTTTAAAGAATACTCAGGGAGGTAATGTGTAAATTTTTTGTCTTATAAAAGTAGTCAATCGCAGGAAAATATCTGCCTTGCCTGCATCAGTAATGTGAACACACCGCTTATTGTTAGCTATGCAAAATTTTTAAAATGTGTTGTTGACGAATATGAAGACTCACAGCGGCTGGTTATTTCGTTATTTATCCTCTTTAAAAAGTAACTTTTTAAGTTTTATGAGTAAATTTATGGACCATGAGTAGATAAAACTTTGTATCTGTTAATTGTTGAGACAACTGTAATCATGAGCAAGAAAATCACCTCTGTGCAGTGAGCTTTAATTCAGCAACTTTAGTAGCATCGGCTGTCAAAAAAAGCCAAAGAACTCTCAAAGTGCGTAGAGAATAAGGTCATAAAAAGACTGTCAGATGTTATGATTAGGAAACCTTGAAAGTTTTTTTTTTATTTATGCAAGTTTGCCACCCTGCTCTTTTCCAAGTTTTCTATCCCTTTATCTCACTAAATTTCAATACATTTTAGGTACATTTTTAGTTTAGTATGTTGCATGTATTGCATTGTACTTTAACCTCCAAATTGGAAAAGAACCCAGTTAAAGGTGGAGGAAAGCTCTCATAAGATACCCTTATTATCTGGAGTATGATATCCCTCTATTCCTCACTGTACCCTATAAACAAAAAAAGAATTCAGGTAATTACTACAAGCTTGATCATGCTTGATATGTTTATATCTGACATTCGAATGTAATTTGTTCTATTTATTATCTTTCAGATTGAAAAGGAAGTGGAGAAATTAGCGATACGGACACAGAAAGAACTAGTGCTTCTTCACAAAGAAGGAGGGGAGAAACCAAACAACACAGTTGCATGGTTGAATATGCGAACCTGGGTCTCACATCACCATCACTTACTTTGTAAGAAGAGAATGTTTGTGAGACACAGTGTACATAGAATTGTAAGTTAACACCTAACTTCTGAACAAATTTACTTTTCACTTTATTTTTCTACAGAGAAATTTCTGGTTGAATTTGTTTGAAAATTTCTCTGAATTGTATCGGCAGCTCAACGAAAATTCTGTGAAATATTTGGACAGCTTTGTTGAATAATTTCTCCGTAAAAAAATAAAAATTTTGGGTTCGAGCATTTTGACACCAAATCCCAAATCCAAATCTGCGTCCCAACACCAATCCTAGTGCAAGGGGATTGGATTGGATATAATGACACATCTAACAAATTGTTCACCTGTACCGAAGTATTGTTTTAGAATTGGGAAGCTCTAAAAGACGCAAATTTCTTACGCAGATTGTGAAGTTAGGAGTGCATTTCAAACTTTATCAATGCGCTCATCGTCATTTTTGAGACATTTACTGATAGAAAAACTCTTATTTTTGCTCTAGCAAAAATTTGCAACAGGCCCATCATGTATTGATTACCAACAAGATCAAAGGAAATCTTAAGAAATGAGAGAGTCCAGCCAATCAATGCGCTCATGTCTGATCCATGTCTCTATCCATGTCTAGGGCTGTTCTATCCGTTGTCGGTAAGCTACCGAAACAGTTCCGTTAAGAAAAAGTTACGATAAGAGCGCTCTTGCCGAGAGTGATCAGAGTTTTCGGAGCTGGCAAAAATAAGCTGTTGCCATTTGTACATCTATTTCACGCGCCGCCCCGCCAGGCAATCTGATAAACCGACGCACGGGCAACAATGCATTGAGTGCGAGCTCTCAAAAATCCGACAAGGCTGGTTGTTAACAATATCATTGCCGCTGTCGGTACTGCTGCCAGTTTCAATAAGAGACAATATTGATAGTGTTCCGGCAAGAATTCGTTTGAACACCCCTATCCATGTCTGAGCTTCGGCCATCCATAGCCCATCATTTCCAATCAAATTCATACTCTTAGAACTTGGATCAGGAAATTGAGAGTTGTTTGCTTTCCATTTGCAAGTGACACCATTGCTGCCGTCCAATAGCGCTCAATCAACAAATGTGGACAATGCAGCTACTGTGGGCAGTCACGTCTAATGGTTTACTGTCTGTGACAGTCTAAAGTAAAAAAACTGCTAAATTATTTGATGCAAGTTGTAAGAGTATACCAGGAAGATAGTTGAAATATTAATAATCAATTTTTTAATTTTTCAGAATGAATTATACAATAAAGTTCTCATGTCAGAACCAAACATTCACTCAGATTTCTCAAGATTGGCACGGTGGCTAACTGGTCAGTCGGTTGGACTAATTTTAGGTGGTGGGGGTGCTAGAGGTGCTTCTCATGTTGGTATGGTGAAAGCCATTCAGGTAAGTGTTACGTTTGTAATCAATCTTTTAATTCATTGCTGCAAGAGTAAAATTTAATTTTTATTCCTCTTTCTGAGCATTAAACTATCCAGTGACCTCAAAGTTTTGACTCCTTTCACCGACTTTACTCAAGGTTTATCAAATGTTTTTATCCATTTATTGTCGTAGTGATCAATTGGAAAGAAATCATTTTACGTTAATTAAATGAATAAAACATTTTATGGAAACAAAAACTAGATTTACAATTAGGCCCTTGCAACTCAAAGGCTAAATGCAAACGATTGATCCTTTGCTTCCCAATAATGCCGATTATGACTAGTTTTAGTGTTAGAATGAATCTTTAAACAGGGTAAGAAACTACAAACTACAATAATCACTTATTTTAACGGTCATTCTTGTAGGATACAATAGTTACATTGAACGCTTCAGTAGAAATCTAGGGCCTTCAGTATCGGCCAATTTGAAGTTCCTGCTCACTAAAAAGCGGAAATCCGTTTGTCAAACAGAGCAAATTGGAACTGAAGAAGCTTCATTTAAAATTAAAGTATTTGAACCTCAAATTCTTAATAATCATAACTCTGATCTGTTGTGACCCTCTGAAGCGTTTTATGTGCCAGAATATTTGTAAAACATCTCTTCATACAGCAGCATTCATTTGGATCATCAAGTGTGAATCAGGCAGTGTATCTACTATATTTGAATGGTAAATTTTTTAGGAGGCTGGAATTCCAATCGATCTAGTGGGTGGTGTCAGTATAGGTGCCTTCATGGGTGGACTATGGTGTCAGGAACGAGACATAACTACCATGACCCAAAAAGCAAGAGACTGGTCTATTGTAAGTTGTTTATCTTTTAAATTACCATTTTTATAGTAGAAATATGCTAAATCAGAGCTTTCCCCCGTCAGAAATCTCCATGACCTGAAGAATTTTCTAGTCTGGGGTAGTTCTCACAAATGAAGTCGTATCATAATATCCCTTTCACAAGCACTCTTATAAACAGTGCTCTCTAACTTGGCCTTAAAATTTTAGGAGCGTTTTGGCAAGAAAGACCAATTATTAGGCCTCATCCATAATTGTTTAAAAACTTTAGAACTTTTTCATTGAGCAGAAAACTTTTCAAAGAGTCAAGTGCCATCAGGAATCAAATCTGTAAGAAGTGTTATCCAGGCAGCATGTTTGGCGCACTGCTTCTTTTTTAGGCGAACATGACGCATGGCTTTCAATACAATTTGACCATCGTTTTTGAAATTTACAACTTTATTTTTAATTTTTATTTTATTACTGGTGCAAACGTAAATCAATCTATTGATTTGAGTTCGCTCGGAAGTTGGACATGAAATTTTCGATTAAAACTGAAAATTTTGATGTTAATTTCTTCACATTACATATAAGCGATTGTCCAGTAGCGATTCCTGCCCATAAAATTGAGGGAAGCTCAATTAGTGGTGCACACTGATTTTTATTTTTTTTAAAGCGAGTTGTATTTTGTTCTCCATAGCTGTATTCGTAAATTTGTGGCCAAGTGATCAGCAAAAATAGTTCTTAGACTATGACTAAACAACGGAGAAAACAATGAGAAAGACAGTCCCACAGGGGCAAAGGGGGAGGAAGGAAGAGAGATATGAGGGAAAAAGAGAAATAAAGTCTGAATACGCGCCTCTGTGCCCCGCGTGGCCTTGGTTGTGGACCTTCGCTGCTCGAGGCGCAGCATACTAGCGCTGTTGTCATCACGCCTGACACAGCCGGTATGCTGCAGTAACTACCGCGTACAAGCAATGTTTTCGCATTCGCATTTAGCTGCCACCACTTGGCTACACTTTCTTCTACTATGTGTACTGCAAAGCTATTTTTAATTGCTGTTAGTATAATTTTCAGAAGATTATGTACATGAAAAAAAAATAATTTCCTATTGCTCAGGGAAGCAGTGTTTCTCTAGTGCACATGTGAAAATTGCCCCTGCCAATATTACACTCGTTTATCGCTCTGTTCTTCTTTAGAAAATGACAAACGTTTGGAGGAAGCTCTTAGATCTAACGTATCCTGCAACGTCCATGTTTACTGGCTGTGAGTTCAACGAATCAATTCGTGCTACTTTCGGTGATACGCAAATAGAAGACTTATGGTTGCCTTACTTCACTGTCACAACTGATATATCTGCCAGTGAAATGAGAATTCACACTCATGGTAAGGTTTTCCAGCTTCTTCTTTTTTTAATGAGCACAGAGTTCCATTTTTAGAATGTTGAATTTTGATTTTTAAGACGTTTGTAGAAGGCTTGGTTGTGGGAATCAAAGTGTTTTTATATAAGTCCCAAAAATACAGCGGAAAAAATAGGAGTTAAGAGTTGAGATTTCATTTGTATTTTAGAAAGGAGAATTCAAGCAGCTTATGTTGCCAAAAGTAATGATAATGAAACAATTTAGCTCAAATTTTTTTTATTCAGCAAAGCATAATCATGATTTGTCTTAATACCGAGTTCATTTACTGAAGAGGATTTTTTACACCTCCCTCTTTTTTCTTTTTTTCCTTCTTTCTCTCTTCTTTTACAATTTAATCTAGATGTAGAAGCCCTGTAGTCTTGAAGGAAAAAATCAGATAAATTCATAAATGTATTTAATACACAAATTTATAGATTAAGAGAAAAAAATAATAATAATAAAATGGAAATGTCTTCCCTTTTTTTTTTTTGGTGCACAATGTGTTTGTATACGTACGATTTTTTAACTCTGCATGCTCCTCTGAAATATGTTGGCTTCTGAAAACTTTGGCTTTGATTTGCATGTAAAACTAGGACTCAACTTCATTTTTTGATCAAATTGCAAAGAACGTCTTTAAATTTTTTGGAACTCCCAGTCCTAATGAGCAGCACACTAAATGTATCTATCGTGTATGGGAGGTTGAGTTGAAAAAAAGAAAATAAGAAGAATAGATGTTAAGACTGCACTTCCACCTTGTGTCATGAACAGCCTCATGCAAAGGGAAGTATGTTAGGTTGAACATGCTTATTACTTAAGCGGGCTAATAATGTATGTACCTGTTATCTTTCCTGTTCCCAATCTCCTGTGTACTTAGACTGTCTAGACAACGATGCACATTCCAATCTTTGCTAAGCTCATCTTCAGGTCATTAAAAACTTGACGGATCACTCCGTAGGTCACATCGTAAAACGAAAATGTATCAAATGAACGAAAGCCGAAAAACTTTAAATGGAATAAAAAACGGAAAGTAACAATAAATAATCACAGTAAATAAGACACGGTTGTCCCAAGGCTCAACTTATCACTCAGTGATATATCGCTCAGTCAGTGAGTTATAAGATGAACCTCTGGGCAAACGTGATTATTTATCATTATTTCCCGTTTTTATTCCATTTAAAGTTTTTCGGTTTTCGTTGGTTTTATACATTTTTGTTTTACAATGTAACTTGTGGACAGTGGTCCGTCAAGTTTTTAAAGACATGAAGATGAGCATCTCAAAGCTTGAAATGTGCATCATCGTCTAGACAATCTAAGTACATAGGAGATCAGGAACAAGAGAGAATTCAGTCACATATGGAAGTATGTTGTGTCTCGCACTTCAAGATGAACACAGTACAGGCCATGCAGCCTAATTTACAACCTGGAGCCATCTTTATGTTTGAGAAGCATACTATGGGCTTTCTATATGTCTCATGAAATTGTTCTTTCTTTGGATGCTTTTAAATATTTCTTGTTTTGGTTACGCAATGTGTAAGGAGAGCAAAACTGATCGGTTAATATTTTACTTGTACTTTTATCTCTTTTCTTAAGAAACCAACCAGTCAACTTTAACAGCTTTTGTAATAGATTTAAACACTGATCTTCTCTCTTTCTTCTTATCTTGCACGAAGTGGAATTAGAAAATAATAATGAGACTCGCTGTAATTGATTATGTTTTTTTCTTGCAAATTTTTCATGTATGGAAAATTCCTCTTCCATAATTTTTACTTATTCTTAATTTGTTGTTTGTAGCATTTTTTTATTGACTTTAAACTGTTCAATGAAATGCTTGTGAGATTTATTTGGTTTTTTCAATGGATTTTATTGATCCTACTTGTTTCGAAGTAGGAACATTTTTTCTGTAGTCCAGATATAAATTATCTGTTGTTATGACAGATCCATTGGCTCATCAGTAATTTTCTCTCAAATTATATCTTTGCCTTTGAATTTCTTACGAGATTTTTCATTAGTTTTTGTTGTGTTTTATCAAGAAAAGCGTCCTAATTTTTTAATATAAGCTTAGTGAAATGTTGCTCTCCCAATTTGCAACAAACTACAGCTCGAGGAAACGGTAATCTTGCACATTGATGTAATTAGGTATTGCCTTCTTGTAAAAATAAGCAATTTTTATTAGTCTTTGTCAATCTAGTCCATGTTACACAGTATTTACTTTTTCTCTCTCTCTTAAAAGCATATTACTAAAAATATTCTCTTCTTATTTTGACCTTTTGTAAAATGTGGTAGAATCCATGTAACATTCCTTGATGGGAGAAAACCTCTTCATTAGAAGGACATTAGAGCTTTATATTGTTGTCCCAACGTATTCCCTAAAAAATATCAAAAGATACTTTTAGGATGACCCTTGTATTTATTTTTTAGGCAGACAGAGGGAAGGAATTTTTGTAAGGAACATTAAGAGTTTTGCCAAATTCTAGTCCTTGAGCACTGATCTGGCGACTTGATTTGGATGGGCTTTAATTTAGCTAAGTTTCAAGAAAAAAAATGTTTTTTTTTTTTAAAAAAAACTGATGTAATCAATTTTTGCATGGGGGGGGGAGTTATTTTTTGTTTTTTTTTTTTATGTATTATCAATCTATCAATGTTTCATCAGCCTAAAAAATCCTCACAACCTGCCCTCTTTTTTTCTGTCTCAGTTGCTCTCCGCAGGTAACTGGCTTTCATTAAACATCCTTTCTTTCTAATTTAAGTGCTGCTTTTATTTCATAAGTTGCTCGCAATTAATTTCACACTTCTTGAATACTTCTTCTCGAAAACTGCCTCATGCTTAATGCTAGAAAAGTTTTGGCTTCACCTTGTTCGTGGCTGATTAAAAATTCATCAAGCATGAACGTGATTAAATCAGAAACATTTGCAGCTTAATGAGCTTAAGATTTAAGTACATATCTATGCAATCACAACAATTTTATATTTGTCTAAGGCATTGATCTTTCTAACTTTTTAGGACAATTAAATGATCAGTGAAATGTTTGGTGCAATGTAGAGGAATCAGAAATCTGACATATTTTTTTTTTATCTCAAGATGAAAAATCAACCGTAATCTAAATAGAATAAAAATGCCAACTGAATCTAGGGCAAATAATAAATAAAAATATTAAAACAAAATGGTTTTAAAAAATATGAAAATCTCCAACCTAATAACCAAACTTAAACTGTTTGAATTTGGTCTTACCCAAAGCCTAGATTTCCTCTTATTAATGCAGTTTTAAATTGTCACCAAACAATATCCCTGAAAACAGGAGGTCTCGCACTGTCCCGCTTAGAAAGTGATCAGAGTATGGCTGAAAGTTTCTTGTTAAGAAACTTTTGGACTTTCATCTTGCTGTTTTTGCGAATAGGCTCCGTAAGTTCCAAAACTGGCTGAGAGGGTCGCTGGTTGAAGTCTGAAGTGACAAAATAAAACACTTAGCATTTAAGTACTGTGACGCCTTAGTGGTCTAAAGTGTTGTGCTCTAGGCAAGAGGTTTGCAAGTTCAATTCTCGTCGTTGTGGCATAATTTTTACTTGTCTTTATAATCGTTTTGTTTTGATTTTCTCCTAATTTCTTCCAACTGTGTAAGTAACTAACTTTGTCGTTAACACAGTTGTAAGGAAGTACAAAAGAATAAAATCAAAGCACTCACTGGAACAAATAAAAATTACGAGAGAGCACAGGGAGTCAAACTTCAGATCTATCAGCCAGAGCCAAACGCTCCAAGCGACTATACTCTATTGCAGCACTGATTTGCGAGGCGTGTTACTTTGACATCTCAGCAAGTAACCCTCTGTGCCAGTTTTTAAGGAAAAATTTGTATAACTTCTGTGGCCCGTTCCAAAAATAGATTGGTAATAGTTTGGTGATTAGTTTGCATGGAAGAACCTCAGGCCATTCTCCTATCAAAATTTATATAGCAACTGTGTGACTTGCCTCGTGAAATATGTTTAAGGCATTTGAGGATTAATAAACATAAATCTGTATTCAACCAAGATAACTGGTAGGTATGATTTGTCCTTAAGACAGTTTTATGAGATGTGCACGTTTTCTCATTTTTCTTATCTCTCATTTCCTTTTTCCAATTTTTATCATGCTACTATCTTTAATTTTTATTGAGCGTTATTACCTCCACCTCTATTCTATGTATTTTTTTGGGCTCTTTCCCTTCCCCTTATATACTCTTCCTGTGTTACTGTTTGTTCAGTCTCTGTTCATCCACTTTGCCTATCTGTAATAAATCCCTCTCAGGGTTTAGCGAATATTTTCTCCCTCAGATTTTATACCTCTTGTTTTTAATGTGATGCTTTATTATAAAATCGCTTATTGCCAACTCAACTGCAGCAGAGCATCCGTCACTCAGCAATTTGTGGTGTGGGCCATTATCGGACATGTTAAACGCCAAATATTTGCACATACTCATAAAATGTGAGAGACAACAAGGGAGAAGCGATAGGAACTCCGAGAAAGAAACAAGGGAAATGCAAAGATTGTGTCAAATGTCCCTTGGATAATTCGGGTACCAAATAACTAAGCACTTTTTGAACTAAGTACCAGTGTATTTTTCCTTGTGTCTGAGTCTTATTTAGCTCCTCCATTCTTCACTCTTTCCCGTTTCATATAAAGAATTCAGTTTGAAAATTAGGTTCTGTTCACTTTTATTACTAATTTTAATTTGTTTTCAACCTTCCTCATATACTCCTCTTTCCCCAACATTTGACCGCAAGAAAGAAATGCTACGATACTGCATTAGCATGAAAATAAGTTTTTTTTTTTTTTTTAACTTTTATCAAGTGAAGGTGAAACCAAGAACCAGTTAAATGACCATTTTTGCCCCAGATCATACCATATGACAGATCAAGACTGTAATACGAATAAAAATACTTGTTTTGCAGGATCTTTGTGGCGTTATGTGCGCGCATCTATGTCTCTCTCAGGGTATTTACCGCCTCTGTGCGACCCTGTCGATGGTCACCTCTTGCTCGACGGAGGCTACGTCAATAATTTGCCAGGTACATTTCACAAGCATTTCATTCCTCTCAACTGTACGTTTTGACTGTTTGAATCAATGATTTTCCATCAATGTACCTGCGAATTTAATATTTTAAATATTATGTTCAGTTTTTATTATTTTTCTTATTTTTCAACAAAATTCTAACACATTAGCCGCCCATTATTTACGCTGTTGCACTTGATAGAAAAACAAGTTATTAAGGTAAATATATGTAATGTAATTACAGTTCTTTTAGAGGTATCAGGCGATAACTTTTTCTAATAGAGATATTTTGAAATATACAAGAGAAATACTAATTTAGTGTGGGCAGAAAAATCAGGTCTGTTGTCAGCGCAATCGTTCAGAATTCATCAGGTGTGCACAGACCAAACTGAACTTTCCTGAATGAGTTTCTTGCTCGCATGGTAAAAAGACAGATACTGAAAAAATTAACTGGCTGATATCTCTCTAAAACTGCAATTATATCAATTGACAGCCATCATCAAATTTCGCTTCATGTATATAATATGTAATTCGTGATAATTATATACAGCCACATAATGTAATTCACAAAAAGAATGGGTCATTCAGATAATTAATCAAAAAAGTACATGGCAGTTTTGTACTTGGCCGGTTCTAATTCCATTCTAGACTTTTCACTTTTTTCACTCATTCATATTGTGTTGAAACACTTCATCATTAGTAACATTCAATATCATGGTTGTCCTTCATATGCGTTGTAATATCATTTCCTAAAAATTGGAGGGAAGCATTATATGGTCATTAAAATTAAACAAAATAGAACTAAATTGAATGGTGGATCATTGATAGAATCATCAAAAAGTACAGTGGGAGGCAGTTTAAAGAGCTGTTCAAGTAGCTATGATAGACTAGTTAGAGTATAAAGAATATTTACAGGCTCATTATGGCGGTATACTCGCGCTAGTATGTCGATAGCTGGAATTCTTCCCCCCCTATGTGATCCAATCGATGGTCATCTTCTGCTTGATGGCTGCTACGTTAATAATGTCCCAGGTATACTCGTTTATCTATGTTGTCTGTCATCAGTTCAAAATTCCAAATAGTTCACACAGAGATACTTTTAAAATCAAGGTACTTGCATTCATAAATTACATCCTACCAAAAATTGAGTTTCCAGCCCCTTTTCGCCCTATCACAAAGGTCTAGACCGTCTCTAAATAAATTTTTCATGCAGTACCTCTCCCATATTTAAAAAACCTAAAATGTATGATTAAGTTTTTAGAAGACTGGCTGCTTATGAAAAAAATACCAAGGAATAAAAAACTGTAAAAGGAAAAACATCTCTTACGAGTGTTTTGAACATAATATATTACTTATCAATGTGAATATAACGAAATGAACAGAATTCATGATACTTTTCTTTTTATCTTTCTTCGTCCTTAGCAGCATCAACATGATATGAACCCAACTGATTTTAAGTTCAGCTCCATAGAGTTAAATAAGCGTGGGAAAAGATTTGATCAAGATTTTATACTCTTAGTTGGAATATAGTTTATGATTGATTAGTTTAATTCACTTAGTTTCTGCTCACTTTGTAAGTCCCACGGTTTTTCTACACATTCTGTATCCATTGATACAATCACGCCTAACCAAGGTACTTATCAATGTGAGCAGAAACTAAGTGAATTAAACTAATCAATCATAAACTATATTTTAACATTTTAAATTTAGAATTTAACTATCTGCTAATAGGGTCATTACTAATCTGTGAATGATTTCCGATGATTTTAGCTGATATCATGCGAAGTCTTGGTGCTAAACATGTGCTTGCAATTGATGTGGGCTCTGTTGATGAAACAGAATTAACAAATTATGGGGACTCTTTGTCTGGCTGGTGGCTGCTGTGGAAACGATTTAATCCATTTGCTGCTGCTGTCAAAGTCCCTAATCTACCTGATATTCAATCCCGTTTGGCCTATGTGTCTTGTGTACGACAGCTCGAGGTTTGTAAAATCTCACATTACCCTTCAATCTAAGAAATAGGTATCTAGGCTGGGTCAGTCGGCTGGTTTCTTTAATACCTATTGTACTGAATCAGGTAGGATTTGTGCTTAAAAGAACCTTCAACGTGATACCCTTTTTTATATTTGTTCCCACTCTTTGGAAAAACAAGTGGAAGAAAAAGGGGGAAAGTTCAGTGATGTGGCCAAAAATTCAAGCCAATAAAAGCATTCTACAGAGCAGAAGCTCAAGGATACCATTCTAAAAACTGAAAAAAAACGCATTGATCAGCAGCCTAATGATGGCATAGTAATGCCTCTTTGCATGGGTTAGCCAACAGTCCCGTAATTGACCAGGGTTGTATCAAATGATTGATTTTCTCGCATCTTAAAATGATTGGATATGTCGTTTCAGAAAGTATCTAGTTCTGACAGAAAAGGTGCAAAAATAAAGGGGAAAAAATGCTAAATCCACTGCTTCTCATAGCTTCAAAAATCTATTTGGCACTGGTTGTTGATCTTCCTGAAGAAGGCTAATTACTAATTAATGGGATTAATTTTTTTTTGTAGAATTTTTTTTGCGCTTTAAACGTCAGAGATAAGCTATTTTGAAATAATTGAAATTTACGAATGTAAAAGTGTATGAAGGATCAAGTAATTTCATAGTTGAATCTGGCTTTAAATTCATTTTTCGGCCTGTGAAACGAATTTTTGATATTTTCTAAGCAGATTTTTTCTCAACACAATACATTCAATCGTCAATTTTTGTATTTTAACTATCATGTGAGTTTTATTTTAAGATATCTGTCTGTCAATATCCTCGTCCGAATGTTGATAACTCTAATCAGATTTTTAATTTTCTGGTATTTGAATTTCAGATTTTTATTTATTTTTGTAATTTATGTTTTTTATCATGTTTTTCTGAAACCATCAGGTTGTCAAGAATAGTTCCTATTGTGAATACATAAGACCACCGATTGACAAGTACAAAACATTACAGTTTGGAAGTTTTGATGAAATCAAGGTAAGATCTTCGACTGAAATTCGTGAACTAATGACAAAAAGTGCCTGAAGAACCTTCATGAATGAACATTACACATGGGCCCATTAAAATGTGCAGCAGTTTAGTTCAAAAAGCCCCCATATTTTCTTAATTTTGTCCGTAGTAGTGAGATGAATTATCACACAATTCGCAAAGAGTCCTCAGAATTAGGTTTACAGCGGAAAAGGGTCAAAAATCAGAACAACTAAATTAAGCTTTCAAAAAAAAGACTGAGTTAAACAGAAAGAGATTCAGTCACAGTTTGAAAAAAAAATGAATTAGAAGTAATTTTGAGCTTAACCAGCCGCACCTTTCTTCCTGTTCATAATGTATAGTAATGAAATACACAAATTTTGAATGTGTAATGGGAAGTTGAACTTCATCTATATCATTAAGTTTTATTTAAACTTCAAACCTATTCTTCTCTCCTCCATTTTGATGTGTTTTGGTTCCTCTTTGTTCAACTTGATTCAAATGGTCCCTTATCAAGTATGATAACTATCGGAACTTGCATCTAACAGAGCGTCTTTGGATTAAAATATTAACAACATCAAAATCTGGCTTGCCGCCTCTGTAAATATTAGCTTTTAAGTTGGGTAGATTGTCTGGGTCAAAGTGTATAAGTAAACATAAAGAATTTCAACTTTGAAAAGTTAGGGCTAGCGCTTCAATGTTTTTTTTTCAATGAACATTTTCATGAACCAGTGAAGTAACTCTTCGGATTTATTACATTTGGTTTGGAGAAAGTATTTAGATGGATTTGAACACATAGAATCAGTCCAACTGCATTTCAAATCGTCTCATATTTTCTTGTGTTTAATTTTTCAACAGAAAACCTAGCGCCTTGAAACTCTCTATGACTTTACTCTATTTTACAACAAATATATACGCTAAAAATTTCTTATTCGAATTTTCCTTGATGCTCTGTAAAAAAATATGAAATGAGAGAAGATTCTGCAACATCATTTGGAGTTAGGCTTGTTTTGATTCAATCCGTCCATTTTATTGATGTATTTCCTTTTTGAATGAACTCTTTCTCTGAAATTTACTTCATTTGTCAATTGTGTCTCACCTCCTGGCATTCACTTTATAGGATGTTGGATATCATCATGGAAAAACTTACTTTGCTGGACTAATGAAAGGCGGTCCCCCGCCTTTCTTGAAGTACTCTGAGAAAAACTTAATCAAAAGAGATAGATCTGTTCCTCAATATCAAAACTACACTTTCACTGATCTCGCTGAAATGGTGTGCTCGTTCAAAACAATGTCTTACGAAGGTATATTAATAATTATTTCTAAAATTCCATTTTTTTTTTCATTCAAACTTTTAATCGCTCATATTTCGAAACAAGGTTTTTCAAGAAATGCCCCTTTTGCACCCAACTCCTCAATTACGATCCCGCATGAAGGGTTGAACCTATCGGTATAATGTCGATAGATACGCCACAGAATCTCATTATAAATCTACCAAGATTTTTACGAGCCTCTTTGGTCCAAAATGAATTTAAAAATAAAAATGAAAAAATAGAAAATTGAAAAAAGGTCCCTGGAATATGGTATCTTAAAGATAACACTTTTTTTACTGCTTTCAAGATTTGTAGGATAGTTTTTTGAAGAAAAAAAGACTTGCAAATCAAAATGTAAGGTGATTAAACAACAGAAATGACTTGGGCAAAGGTTTTTTAGACTTGTAATAAACCTTGTGAAGGACAAACTAAACTTCAAAAGAAAAGAGAAATAGCGATCTTATAATTACATTTCTTATTTTTCAGAACTTTCATCCTCCACATCCTCCGAGTATGAAGATGATGACCACGAAGGTGGCTACCATTCAGAACCTGCTCACAGCGTTTCAGATGTGAGTCTCATCACTTTTCCATCAAGATTAGTAACCTAACCTTATCTAAAAATTTCAGAAGCCATTTCGGCAAGTTCCTTAGGAAACACAAAGATTTTCGATAATGAGGCGGAAAAGAGCCATCCTTAAAAGAGGATTTTTTTGCCTGTTTCCAGACTCTCAATAATTCAGCCATTGAGCCAAGGTTCTAATACGGCTTATAAACATTCCGCATTCAGGGAAAAATTTGAAATGAGTATAGAAATGGTCAAAGAAATGCATCAGAATCATTTTGCGTAACTTGTGTAAATTTGAATTGGAAAACCACGACCCCTTATCAAAAATTGGCTTACATTGGTAGTATTTTGCCCCCCTAAGTATGTTTTAAGAATCATTTCTATGTATCCTCAATTTTTCCCTGAATGCTGTGTCTGTCTTAAGCTTCCATTTAAATTTTATTTAATTTTGGGCAATTTTTTGTGAGGCTCTTATGCAAGAAGAAAGGATGTAACAGAAATCAGAGCTTCGCCAATTTTTTAGGGACCTCAATGGACCGTTTGCCCTTATTTTCAAATGGCTTGCCCAACTAGCTACCTAATTTTTAGGCGTATTTTGAGTATGGTGCTCATTGAGATTAGAATATTTCTTCCAATTGAAGTAAACCAATTATGTTCACTTTTCATAATAAACTCCCTCCTGATGCAGACATCAAAGGAGGTCAGAGAGAAAAAATTTTCCAGGAACATGCAGTTAGATCAGTATTATTTTTTATCCATAGAATAGAATTTTGTTAACAGGAGTCAAGTACTTTGCTATGCTGCTCCTAACTACACAAAAAGAGAAAGGCTTGCAAATATGTACGCGGGCAAAGAAAGGATGCTGAAAATCTGCATAGCATCACTCAAATATTTATTTCAACACTCTTGCGTTTAATTTTATGTTGTGAGGAAGTTATTATCAAAGTGGAAGCATTCTTATCAACATTCGAGAGTTGTTGCGTTGATCTTCAGTGTTCCAGGAATGCAACATCCCTTCGTTTTCTGAATAGTATTTGCAAAGTCTTTTTCTCTCTCATTAATCCTCTTCTTTCTTTTCATGTACAAATGGTAACGACTCTTGCAGTGTTTAAGCCCAGACTGTTTAGCTTAACTCCTTTTAGGTACCCACTGACTGCGTAATATAATTTTTAACAGCCCGTATAATATGTCAGAAACGCAGATACTACTAGTGTGTGTTGTTTTTTCTACATTATGAATAATTGCTTGTTCTCTGTTCTGACGTTTGTCTTTTAAGTTTTCTTTGTTCTCACATTCCATTTTTTGGGTCTGCTTTCAGATGAAATTTCCGGATCGAGGCACGAGATCAGTTTCTTCTGAAACAGAAGAGATGGAATGAAGTCTCCTCCTAATTGCCAAAGTTACTCTAATTTAATTGTACCTACCTACCGTTGAAGGAACTGATTAATGAATACTTTAAGTCATTTTTGAAGATACCACTTATTTTGTGTAATTTGTTTTATATTGAGTTTGTATAATGTTGCTGTAATATATATTTTCTAAAATCTATCTTGGAGAAAGTCTTAAATTAATGAACCTATTACACCTATTACCTTACCATATAACTTATTATCCCTTCAGCCCTACGCTGATGTTAAAATTAAGGAGGAACAACCCTTACAGCTCAAGCTTCTTAATGCGGCATGATTCCTGTAATATAATCTAACTATGTATGATTACTTGGATGTATTTCTATCAAACGGAAGTAAGCGTTTCCGTTGAGTTCCTTTTGAGGAATTTAGAATCCCGGATAGCGCGTTCTGTCAAACGGACCTAAGCGCCATGGGAAAAGCATTGCGAGTATAGGACGGAATAAGCCAGACGCCTGATTCCGCCGCCAATCCAAGCCCTCCTCTACCTTCCTCACCCTATGGCGCTTAGGATAGAAATATGTTCACTTGTATGACATTATTTCTGCTTACAATCAGCAATACAAGTAAAAATGTACTCTAGCCAATTTGTCACCAAAACAAATCAAAGGCTTAAAAAGTTTCAGGAAACTATGAATGTACTTTGTTAATTAATTACAATCTAAACAATTTTTTTTTTTGTTCTGTAAATTTAGCGTCAATTTTCCTGCAATTGTTATGATCAGAAATTTTTCTAGACATTGAAATGACTCCACTTTTGCTACTGAAAAATGTAAATATCTCCTAAATCGTCGGTCGAAGAGCAAAACAAAGCAAATTTTCCAGCCCTCCTGAATGTCTAGATGTACTTTTGCAACCCCCCTCAAGTCCATGAGGTCAGGGATCCCGTGGCCTCAATTTAAATTTTTGAACTTCGATTTTTCAATCTCGATTTTTCAATGCCGTGAAAACGGATCTATTTGTCTATGCCCCTTAAAACAGCAAATATTTCTTAAACTGTCGTTTGAAAAGCAAAACTGACCAAATTTCTCTGTACCCTTGAATTTGGGATCTACTTACTTTCATATTCCCTGCATGCCCTAGTAGGATTTGGGGCCTTATAGACGCAATTTAAATTTTCAAAAATAAATTAATCAAGAACAATCAAGCATTTTATCATTCAATTATTTTGTAATTCAGGCATTACCTGCAAAAAGGTACCCACGGTGCCTCTCTGTAGAGAACTGTTTTATCAATTGGGCATATTTATGATGATAAGAACAATGTGCGTCGGGTTTGCGTGCAACATAGTTTCTTTGAGCATAAGTACGTCCAATTGAGCACACCCTGAAAGACAAATGTATGTACCAAATTCGGGCATGATCAAATAATTCTATGAAAAATGCCAACAAAAAAATGCGCTGTGGAAAGGCAGAATTGAGGCGTATAGAGACAGCTGGTTAGGTTGGTCTCGAAACATCTTGAACAGCATATTTCACGAATTTCATTAACTATTTAACATTCTATTTGCCTTCAAAAGTACTATTTAAAGGGATTAAATTGGCTCAAATTGCTGTTCTATGAACAAAAGGCCCTCAGAAGTCAAAACACATCCATTTATGCTTTTTTAAACAGCACATTGATAAAACTTTCTCAATTTCAAGCCTTTCCCTCTTCTAAGGGATTACAGGTCAAAATTACTGACAGAATTTGTCTCAAAATACCAATTCATCTCTGAGTTGTTTCGTTTTGAAAACTTTAAATATGTTTTTTAAAACTTGGTTTTACTTTGAGAGCCCTTTTTGCGTCTAATGTCTCGGTCGTAATTTTTATTTTTGATTTAACATTAGTCATGCCATCTGGCATATTCATTGGAGTCCTGGGGTGAAAAATTAAGAGGATTTCATCTGGATGTAAAATAAAATTAATTTAATTGAAAGCACATAAATATGTGTACATATCCGTCTACTTTATACAAAATTATATTTAACTGGTAGAAGTAACTATTTACAAACACTAAAAGTCAGTGCAATAAAAATACAAAGGAACAAATTGTGAGTTGCTTCAGTCATTATTTTTTGTTGAAGTTGCCTCCTACTAGGTCAACAAAGATTCATGTAAAAACCAGAGCAGACTGTTAGATTTTAAAGCTTTTTCGGCTTACAATATGCTCTTAAAAAATTAATGGTGAGCCATATAAAAAATCAAGTTTGGAAAAAAGTTACAAAGTAAGCTAACAACGTAAGAAAACAGACAAACAATAATGATAAGGCCTTGAGCATAACACAGATCAATACCACAGCAATAATAACTTTTAGGCACGACCTCAAATAGTTGAATGGGAATGGAAATGATGATCTGGACGAAAATCCAGAAGTGTGCGAAGAGGATTTGTTTTAATTCAGGGTTAAATTATTCGACATTGAAAATAGGCACTTTCTTTTAAACGTGCTCAGAAAATGTGACATCATGTAACCATCCTGTAAATTTGACTGTCCATGAGGAAAGGGAATTTTTTCTACAAAAACTAAAACGGTTTATGTTACATAAGCTCAAAATATTCATGGAAAATTTTGAGACAAGAAAACACAACACTGTCAAACTTAACCAAAGTTATGGAAGTTTTAAATTCGCAGTTCAAATTTGGAGGAAAAGCTATATGGAATTCTATTCTGTGATAAACGAAGCAGAAAATTGTCATATTTCAATTCAATTTTACATGCTCTGATGGTAAAAAAATGAGCTCAAAATCGGAAAATCTCATTTTCCAACTCATCTCGACAAACTGATTCACTGAAAATTTTGTTTCCATGAACCTAAGTTTTTTTTCCTTGGGACAGTCAAATTAAATTAATCGAAATGCAGGATTACTGCGTTGTGCGGCGAAAGATAAATTCTCTAATAATTCAATTTTGAAATTGAAAAATCGAGTGGTACTTCAGAGAAGAGAAGTATGAGGGTATGAAAAGAAACTTGGGAGACAAAGAATAGGATAATTCATAATCATCATGAATGCACGGAAGCTGTAAAGCACAAATATTGGCAGTAATAGATGTGATGGAAGAATGATTTCCAATTGAACTAATAGAGAAGAGTTTTGGTTAGCACCTTTTCATACACTCTTGGAGTAACAGCCGCCCCCCCCCCTCTCCAATTACATAGTCCATAAACTTATTAAAGCACTAGCATGGAAAATTAAAGCTTAAATTAAGAAATACATATTTACTCCAAATTGGGAGAAAAAATTGATTGTCTAAAATCTTTACCTTATTTAAAACATACCTAAGTTAAATCCTGCAGTTACTGCCAATGCTGGAATGACTGAAATGATCTTCTGCCTGGGGCTATATTCTTCATCAAAACATCACTACATTAGTGTACAATGTGCATAATGTACAACTGTAGGGGTCAATGAAACAAAATTAAAAGGAAAAAGAATCTATGAAAGAGAAAAATATGGAAGAGAAAAAAAAAAAAAAAAAATTGACGTTGCTTGGTCAATTTAGAGTTTTTGAAAATCCTGTTAACAGGGTGAAAATTTAGTTCTGCAGTTGTGGCCTGAAATCTCACTCCACCTCTCGTTCATTTTAATTTCATTAAGTGACACACAGTTCAAGTTTTAAGAAAATGTACCTGGTCATTGAGTTCTAGCTTTTTGTTCTTTATTTTCTGGTTTTGACCCCTTCAATTACAATAGATGATGCCAACTGGGCTACATTTTGCAATAAAAAACTAAGTACAATTCTGGGCTTTTTTTTAGAAACAACATACGTGCCATTAGTTTTCCCATGCAGATAAGTGTTTTTTACAGATGAGCCAGAAATAGTGGTTCCCTATGGTAAACTATAATCCTCTTCCATTACAATAGTCTTCATCTATTTGAAGTTATAATTGCACATTGGATAACATTCCTTTAATAGAATTCATTACAAAGAATTGAAATATTTTTGTTTTTTGTCCTGGAGTAGGTAGTTGGTTTTTAATCACAGTCCATTTCTTGTAGAAATTCTTTCCCTATTTTTTTCTTTCCTGAATTCTAGGGAAGTTCTGGTTCCATCAGAATTGCACAGCCTATATCAGTGACGTGGCGTGCTTTGCGATAAATCGATTGATCTGCCATTTAAACCTATGGTAAAGGATCCATTAACAGGATAATGTTCGGAATGAGTGCCGTAATAATCAATCTTTTTCCATAGGTTTAAATGGCAAATCAATCAATATATCACAATGCACACCACGTCACTGGCCTACACCTGAATGACTGAGGGGATCAAATTCCACCATGTCTGATTCTTATACATACTTGTTTACATTATGGGATTCCTGTTTTGTCTTTTACATACTTATTCACTTGTATGAAAAACTGCAAAACAATAATGGTGGTTTTCATAGAGCTTTACATCTCTATATTCAATCATTTCAAATCTTCTAGAAGGATTAATGCATTTCCGTTGTTGGTTCAGTAAAAGAACCAACATCCCACTTATGTTAATACTTGCAGTGACTCTGAGATGAATGGATTGAATAAAAATTGTACGATAACCAGTCTCCAGAGCAGGAAAATTGGAACTTTATCAAACTGACTGAAAGGCATATTATCTTGAAATGAAAAAGAGATCACAGGGGAGCATTAGAATTATTAGTCTCACTATCACCATTTTGAGTCTGATCATTGGGATTAGAATCCTGAGTAGGATCTTTGAAGTCTTGACTAACGACACTAGGTGCTCTTGAACGTGGTAAGAGACCAGTACGAGAATTTGCACTTATATCTAAAAGAAGTGCTTCTGCTTCATTCTGATCAACGCTGAACACATCATTGGCACCTGAAATTGAGCGAGCGTAGTTCCTTTGAATTTTTTCTCTTTGCCGTTTCGCTTTCAGCCGCTCGAAGTCATCGTCCGATGAGATGCTCGTCGTGGAGCCTATACTTATCTTATCGACTGCATCACCATGGATGATACTACCACTGCCAAGACCTGAAAAGGCATCGCTACCCACGAGCCCGCTTCTGGCGGATAGTATTTCAGTATAGGTGACATTTGATGTGGCGGGCGAGTGACACGGGTTAGCTGGAGCGATAGCTGAGGTTGGCACTGACCGTGAGATTAGAGGCGTGTGCTGTTGGCGGCCGGGTGGCACAGGAACGGGAGCAGAGGCAGGGGTAGGTGGAAAAATGGACAGGACGCTCGGTCTAGGCTCTTGGCGTCCGGACGAAGTGATTGTTAGCTGCTCATCAACTTCTTCGATGACTTGATCAGAAATGCGCATACTCCCTCCTGGGACATACTTCACTGTCAAGCTATCAGTGCTGTTACTGATGCCGACTTTCCCATCATTGGCACTGCCATCTAGAAAGCAAGAAAATTACATTTTAAAGCTCTCAAGTTAAGATCACACTTGGGTTTGTATTCATGATCGTTCTTTTAACATCATTTTCCTTTCCTTAGGAGGCCCTACATGGTTTACATTGTGATTACGGAGGGTTCAAGGATATCCTTGACAAGGCATCGAAAAAAGGACAATAATTTACTACTGCAAAAAGTAAAAAATATGCAAGAAAACATTATTTGATTTTGACAAACTTTAAGGTAGGTGCAAATCAACCTTAAAATTTACAAAACTCACAATATATTTTATTTCATATTTTGTGTTTTGTGTAGTGGTAAATCATTGTCGTCACTTCCAAGGATCCATATTCAAAGTTATACTGCTAAACTTTTTCTCACAGTTTGCATTAATTGCCCTTTTTATAGTGCTTTACTAAGGATCTCTTTGAACCTCCTTTAATCACGATGTAAATCATTTGGGGCCTCCTACAGACAGGAACTCTTTACGGAACGACTATGAATACAAAAGGTATAGAAAAAGGGCAGGGTAAAACATAGCAGGCCTTATCCGAGTATAAAATTATCTAAGAGGTGTTGTAACATCAAGTTCTGATGGCAAATTTTTTTTCTGGCTCAAAAAAACAAGCGCTTGCGTAGTTGAAACAACACTCAATGTAATTTCACTTCTTTTCCAGCGCTCTTTACTGCATAAGGTGAGGACACTATTCAAATAATTTTTCCTGTGCTATAAATTTTGAAAAGTACACTAAAAATGAACTTACGTGAACTGAGACTGACTTACTACTATGAAATTGAAAGTACGTAATAGTCTCTTCAATTTTTGAACTACATATTGCGAAAATACGAATATTGGACACTATTAGAAGAAGGAGAAAAATAAGGCAATCACATCTGGACTATTATACACAGTTTATGCGCGTCGATAAGTTTGAGCAAACTATTTTACAAAGCTCAGATAACGCAGGTGCAAGCAATTACAAAAAGCTAGTGTCATTCATAGGTGGGTATATTACTTATCAAAAAAGTTGTTGAATTCATTTTAACAGGATTCTCTGCAAGGCATAATGTCCGATTTAGCTTATGAGCAACTTTCTGACTCCAGGAGACAATTAGTCAATTTCACAGTGATAATAAAGTTGAGCTTTGTTAGATCTGTACTTAATAACAAATTACGACATGATGGCAGACACCGTTCAGAAAATAGAGTAAGTGAAATATTAAAATTTGAGGCCCCCCTTTTGAGGGTTTTGTTTAGGCTCACATAAAAATTCTGCCAATTAAGACTCTTATTACGACTGACCTTTTTTGTTATACAACTTATTTCCATCAATAGACCATTCATTATAATCTATAACGATTCTTTTTCATTTTCGACAAAACTTTGAGCTCACTTGAACCATAATAGACTATGAAAAATGTAAAAATTAGCTCTTTTCCATCGAAAATGAGAAAAACTTTGTCTGATTTCTTAATTTATTTATTTTAGGAGATCTATTGAAAATTTAGTCCACAGTTTGCATTGGAATAAAGACTAAAATTATGGAAAAAAGAGAAAAGTTCCATTACCTATTGCGAACTTACCAGGTTTCAAAAAAGCTGGGAAGGAAAAAAAAGACAGAAAATTAAAATGGATTCTTGGTTTTTTTTTTCTAAACTATGATAGAAGATAATTTCGGAATATGGATTTGTCTTGTAGCATATGTTTAAACTATTATTGCTATGCCTCCTAAATATACCGAGGAAAGTGAATAAAACGATCAATCTATTTCCAAAAAAGGGGGCGGCTAAATTTGTTTAACCATAAAATTAAATCTCTCATACTTTTTGCCTGCTTCACTGCCCTACTTCTTCTAATATTGTGGCACAGGGAGAATTCCCTCAATAATAGACTTGAACTAATGGTAGAAAACATTATCCAACATACGGATACAGAGCTAATTTTAATTGAGACACAACTTCCACAATATGCCTCTGCTATTTTCTAGGCTCATAAATGCCGCAGAATACACCCTCGACCAAAAGACAAATCCACTTCGAAATTGCAAGTGAAAAGCAGTATCAGAATAAAACGGAAAATGCAGTAAAACCTTGAGTTGATAATTATTTACAAAACCAAGCATGGACAAAAATGAAAAACAAAACTATACAGGAGTTTCCAGTTTCAAAGAAAGCTGGTTTGACAGCAATTTTAAAATTTGGATGTTAATGCATCAAAATATGAATAAGGCCAAATCTTCACTTCTGAGTTGTAACATTACTGGCTTTCTACAAAATGAGCATACTGATGAAACATAATTACTGAAAAGTGGAATTTGCACTTTACAAGAGGAGTTTAAGAAGGGTTTAAGAAAATCATGATCTCACAATCCGAAAATTGTAGCAAGCATGCAGTAAACCTTTGGCTGTAAGGAAATTTCCACGATAACTCTTTATTCTAGCTCATCACACTGAAAAACAGGGCCAATCAGGTACTTTACATAAAGCAAATTAGAATTTTTCCAGCAGATGAAAGTACAGGATTGTAAGGTTTGGTCAGTGTTTTGGATCTATTTGAATACCTGAAACTTAAGGTTTCACTGCAGGATAAGGGGAAAGGACTAGTTAAAATTGTTAAACTAGTTAAAATTGTGCAGCAAGTGCAGTGCAGTTTATAGTTATAGACTAAAAAAAAAAAAATGATGAAAAACATGAAAATCAAAGAATGAAGTTATAGACAAAGATAACTCTGATAAAACTGAGATTTTAATCATTAGCCTTCAGAGGAAAATTGTGTTTTTACCATCAGTTGAGCAGGATCATAGTGTAATGGAAGGTTCACACTATCTTAAGGAAAAAACAAGGCCAAAATAGTATAAAAATAAAAACAATGATTACTTTTTTGGCCTTGTTTTCCCCTTAGAATGGTGCGGATCAAGCATTTTTCTAAAATCCTGCTACATAGTTTTGCAGTTTAATTTCTCATGTTCACTTTTTCTGTTTATTATTTTCTACTTATCAGTCAGTAATAGAGCACTTGAGAATTGATGATTATTGCTCTGGTTGAATTCTATCTCAGAGAGTAATTTGAATCACATAAGCATTATTGATTATTTGACTGTGATTCTAAGAACTGTCGCCTATCATTAAAAATATAGATTGAATTAAGGTGATAAGCATGTGGCATTGAAGCTTACGCTGTACATGATTACCAATGACAAGACAGTAGAATACAAAAGCATGGCAGCGTGAGACACTTACAAGAACAAGCACCATCCACGGACACAGTGATCGGATCCCGTGAAAACTTACGGCGAATGACTGAAGCGATTGAGCCCACCCGATGAAGTGAACTTGCCAAACTGTTGGAAGAACCAGCAGACATTGTTCGGTCAGCGCGACTCGCTCTACTTGCACTGCGCCGGCCAGCTGAAAATGTTATTCCTTCATCTCCCTAAATAAAATACAATAATATTTCCATTAAAACAAGAAAAATATGATAATTTGAGGCTGCTCACACAAAAACGATCTAAGTGTCCGAAACATTGAAAGTAAGATTATTGTGTCACTGCCTGAAAAAGTGTTTTACAAACAAAATGACACAAAAGACCTCCAGTAATATGAAATTTAACTGGGGTTAAAACAATTTAAAGTAGACCATTGAGAAATTCTAGTCTTAAAAAGAAGCAGTCGAAAGATTTATCTACAAAGTTTGGAGTTCAAAACTGTCAAAATTAAAATGTACTTTTATTCCTTCTGTTGGAACAAAAAAGTTGAAAAGCTTGCCACTTACCCTGAGGTAGCAACTGCAAGAAAGCGGTGTTTTGAACAGGCTAAATTTGGCAGTAAAACCAAAAAAACCTAAAACTTTGTTGCACAAGCAAGTGTTGTTCGGACATAGTAAAATTTTCATAAATTGCAGAATGCTCGTTTTCAAACCTTGAGATTCTTTTTTTGAATCCAAAATTTGCAAGTTCACTAAAATTAGTGTTCTGATTTTATAGATTCTGATTTTTTTCTGATTTTTTTTTTTTTTTTTAGTGTTCTGAATAAGAGGGTTGCCGCTGACGTTAGTACCTGAATCCCACCTCAATATACTAAATTCGAAGAGACTTTAGTTCAAAGCATGCCTTGCGATTTCAAATTCTTCAGGCTCCATTGGAACACTGAGCTAAGTTCTCAGTCAAAAACTCAACTCTCATTGACAAAATTCATACTCCAGAAAAATCTACCCCTGTCAGCATCTGCTTTCTGCGGAGCATTGCATATTGATTCAATTTGTAAGTTTATAAATTTTATTACGTAGGCATTACCTGCTCGTTAAGGCTCATTTCATCAATTTTCAAAGATGATGGTGCAGCATATTCTGCTTCAGCATCTGTGACCGCGATATTTGTGGTGGAAGGCTGAGGGGCTTTTTCCCGGAATGGTTCAGTGGCAATGGTATAAGGAAGCTCAGTAGGGAAAACTTCATCCCAATATTGATCACGGATCAGTTCTGGATGCTCGTGGTGCATTTCGTCCACAATCAAATAAGACACCTGTGAGGAACACAATGGATAGAACATGAGTAAGGGTAAATGAAAACTTAAACTTAAGATGATCCATGATCAAAAGGCTTAACTGAAAGTAAATACAAGAAGATTACAGATAATGAAACTAGAAAAACCCTGTGCTTCAGTTAGTGAAGTCGCAAACTTTCTGTCATAATTCACTAAGGAAACCAATCATTATCATTCCAGGAACTTTTACATAATTATTCTTTCTCCACCTGTAGAAGTTCTTTAATAATTCAAACAGAAAAATTTGCTTTTTTTTTTTTTTGGACTGAAATGGAAATCGTTGATTCTACTTTTGAAACATTAAATGGGAAGCTTGAATGTCACAAGGATTTGCACTTAAATGACTTCATCTTTGATCAAATTATGCAAAAAGCATGATGGTGCTGCTGGTTTTCTCTTAATCACTCCGAACCTTAAAAAAGCTCCGATAGATAAGGTCGGAATAGGGAGGATTGTCTATGTTATAGCTCCATTTTATGCCTTCCCTAGACCACTTCCTTGACAAGTATTATAGCCTTATGAAGGATTAGCAAGCCCTGCATTGTTGTAAAAAAAATGCAGCTAAAATGCCTTCAATTTTTCTCACAAACAACACGGACATCCCTTACGCAAGATTAATTGCATTCAAGCGTTGTTATCGAAGTCACAATGCTGCACGCTTCACTAGTGTCACGAGAACTTACAGTGACATTTCTATCGACGATCCAATTTACTTCGAAGTCATCGTCATCTTCACCAAAAGGATTAATTAAACTTTCAGCCACTTTCAACCATCCCATGTAGAAGAAAAACTGAAAAATAAAATGAAACTTTTCAGCTAAAACAAAAATGAAATAAATATAAAATGCAATGTGTTCTGCAAACTTGAGATTAATTTTAGACAAGAAGAAAATACTTACTTTATACATATTAACATCGAGTAAATATTAATGATAAAAGTAAAAAAAAAAACCTCTTTCCTCGCTTCCTAATGTAGCAATGTTTTGCTTCTTATTTTATTCCATCAAGAGCAAACTAAAAAAACATTATTTCCTGGATTTCATACTCATTTCTGTACAAAATATTGATTAAAAATTTCAAATATTGACAGTTATTAAATTATCTCTGGAAAAATAATTTCTCTTCATTCAGCACGGACTATTAAGAAAAAATACCAAGCATTGACATACATTCATCCATTTATGTCTGAAAAAATAAAACTACAGTAGAGATTTTGAATAAAGCAGGTAATGGACATGTTTCCTCTGCCACTCCTGATCTGTCTTGTTTTCAGAACCGTTTGCAGCAATCATTCCCTTAAGTTTTCCTTGTCATTTCTTCTCACCTACTCATTTGTTGATAAGTTAATATTCTCTGTTGGTTAAAGAGGAACAAAAATAGACAGAAATAAATTATGATCAAATAAGATGAAGTATTACCTGAAGCGTGATGAACAATGGAAAGTAAAGATCAATTATATTGTTGTGATTTTTCATTGGATTATCTTTGTCGGTGATTTCTAACCACTGCCGACCCATCACACTTGTAATGAAAAACGAATACACAGCCAACGTAACGACCTGGAATATTAATACGATACAAAAACACTTAAGTAAGGATCTAAATTAGTGGTGGATGACAATATGTTAAAAAACCTGAGTGATGCCTAAAATTCAAAAGAACAGACTTTAAAAAACCTGACTGACTTTTTCCAGAAAAAAAGCTGTGGCTCTAAGCAAGGATTTAAACACCATTCTGAGGCATTTGACAATGGTTTAACAATTAAATCCGTGATACTTCATGACAAATTGGATTACCTTCTCATCAGCCTTGCTGGCTGATTTTTAAGTCAATTCAACAGAGAGGTTTTCAATCATACCATGCGTCTTTCATCATTCAGAATTGCATTGTGCTTCTAGTTTTAGGGTGTCATAATGTTTCATTTAATGCTACAGCTGAGCTTTCTAAAATGAGTTTGTGAAGCTATTTAAGATTAGACCTTTTTTGAGCGTACAATGATTTTTCCACAGAAACATCTGCACTATAATGACTGATGAAATTGTAAGCTTTAGCTGAGATCAAGAACTCTATTAGAAGAATAATTGATACGGTAAAAAAGAAATTTGTTTTCCACACAAAGGACTCTGGAACCGGGTTCGACTTCGACCATCCCTAAACAAAGTCTCTCATCAAAATTGTATGAACAATGCTTGCAAGCAAACTGAAATTTTCAAAATGGATGGAGTCCCTTCTGGGGTAAAAATTTCTGAAACTATCCGAAATTATAGACTTACCTGCGTATAAACTAAAGGCACACTAATTGTGTCATAATTAAGAAGGAGACCACACTGGCCTCTGAACTTATTTAATTCATCTATTATTGCTTTGGCTGAGAAATCATCTCGTATTCTACCTTCTTTCCTAGCGCGGGTCACAATGCTGGCGGCCCAAACAATTGGCAACCACTGTTTGGAATGTCTTGGAAATTTCTCATTTAAATCATTGACTATGATTTTCTCATTATCAAGAAGTAATCCTGAAACCAAAATAATGGCTTAAAAAGATCAATAGAAACGAGGCAGCTGGAAAAAAACTTCAATTATTAGATGCATCTAAAAAGATAGTGAAAGTTGTACTAGTTTTGGAGATCTCTTCACTTTAATAAGAAAATTTACCAGAGGTTAATCACTCAATTTTCTTCGAATAAATAGGCTCAATATGACGCTTTTTCATTTTTTATTTTTCCACTGAATGTCATTAGTCTTGAATTCAAAAATAAATTTTGTTAAATTTTTTCTAAAATAATTGTAAAACAGTTTAGACTGGTGTTGAAGTTTTGGTTAGGGGTGTAGATATTACCTGCATCAACAAAATGTTCCAAGGTTGGGAAACGTTTCTTCACCCTTGGACTTATCATAGAAAAAACCATTGTAAGGCATAAACACACATATCGCATGATGGTACGTCGCATTAATCTTCCTCTTTCATCCTGAAGATAGACGAAAGAAAGAAATTTAGATTGGTAAAAACCAAAATTTACTAGCATTGGAGTTTGATCACTTTCAATAATATTGCTAAAACTAGATTGAAGATTGTACAGTTGGTTGAATTGTTTTAAAACGTGCTTTTTTTCTTATTATAACAAGGACAATAATGATGGAAATAGAAGAGGTGGTATTATGCAGGGAGAACAATTCGTTGACATGATATTTATTGTTCAAAGAGAAATTTGATTTTTGACTACCATGAAAATCGTTTTATCCGCTTTGATGAGATTAATTTAAACATGGGAAAGAAAGCATCTTCCTAGTTTGAATTTATCTAATGTTATGACGACATTTCGTTTCTTATCATAGTACTTGATAATAATTTTTTAAAGTAAAAATTTGAAACTAAGAGACTAAATTAATACATGGTTTCACTATATTCAATAGCCCTTGCCAATATTTTGCAGAATTAATTAAACTAATAGGCAAGTGCTGTTCACAAAGCTTCCACTAACAGGCAAAAATGACCAAGGACAGCTTTTATAAACTCTAAAAACTAATTAATCCGAAATACGATAAAAAAAATTTTTTTCTTCTTTTTTCTAATGGAATTGCTTGGGATGTGATGAGGTTTTTTTTATTTTTAAGTACAGGACTGCCTCATTAACAATGTACAAAAATGTACAACAACAAAAAGTAATGTCATTTACCTGGCCATGAATGTGTGAGCTGACGAAAACTGCTATTGGGTCAGGCCATGGTATGCTGTGATATTGGTCCCACCATCTTTGCATAATAATAGAAATATAGAAACCAAGCACAAATGATAGCGGAATCAAATTACTGTAAGTTTCACAGTATTCAGAGATGCTTTCAAACAGCCTGTGAACATAAAATGTAAGAATAAACCACTGTGAATACAAATGAAGTAATTAGTACACCATGAGCTGAATAAATCGAGATTTCACTGAGTAAAGGTATTCACATTCTGATAAAAACGTAGTGTTGAAACGATTTCAACACCGCTGCAGGCTGATTGTTAAAATTTATAGACAAAGAAGACTTTAGGGAGTACGGAGCAATCCTATTGGTTGAAATGGGTGGTTTCTACACTCTAAGGGAGAAAATGATAGACTAACTATAGGGTCTCTCCTGGGTTCCAGTTAGTTAGTCTATTACCTACCTCCTTTGTCGATAGTCCAACCACCCGCTTTCACCAAAAGGATCCCTCCATATCTGTTTTGTCTTCTTTGGCTATAGCTTTGTCTATCAATTTCAACAATCAGCCCTCTGTTTTTAATCGTTCAACACCGATTTTTAGTCTTGCCACAGATTAAAGTCATACATATTCTCTTCATTTCCATGAGAGTCAATTTAATTTAATTTTTTGATTCTGAAACTGATGATTACAGACAATCTTAAATAATTTCACTGACTGACTTTCGACAACAGTGAGATACTTATTGGGGGTATTTGTTACTTTTTTTAGTATCATCATGATAAGACTGGTAACACTAGAGAAACTTGTGAGGTATACTTAGTAAGAGTCTGGGGGCTCATAAATTTAATGAGGGGCTTGGAGGACAAGGCGCATAAGTGCAGTTTTTGAAAAATTAAGATGTACATGATTTCAAGTAAAACGAGTCTTAAGGCGAATGTTGTGAATAATTTTCTCCCAAATATCAATTTTTAAGTATCAAAAAGTCAGTTTGAACTTTCTTTCCGCCATTAGGATCCGTATCATTTTGAAATTTCGAACACATATTTTTCAAAATAGCAAAAATTGCACTTTTGCATCTTGTCCTCCAAGCCCCTTAAATGTTCTTTCAAATGAGTGCTTTGCCAAAAGGCAGACTACTACAGACAGTGATATATATATGTTTCATTCATAATGATGTTCAAATATGTTTCATTGTAGATTAATGAAAAATCGGCGCTACGCGTCCATTTCAGCGTTAGGTTGCGTAATTTAGTTTTAAATGTTCCCCTTCTCCCAATAGTGCACCTGTGACGCAAGCTGAGACGCCCCTGCTCCTCCTTGAGCATTACCGGTCATATGAACAGCCCAATCATAAGAGAAAAATTCATTATTTATAAAATAAATGGTTACCTTTTTTGTTCTTCATCAAGAGCAAAGCGATACGTTAGGTTTAAAACGTAGTAAGCCGTTAAAAACGCTACTAAGTCAGGCCAGACCAGTTTATAAATGCTGCCTTTCCACCTGAAAAAAAGAAAAGGGAAGGAAAAATAGTCATGGGATTTTTGAAAGAAATGCAATAGAAAAAAAACAGCCTCTCTCTTATACTGCAATTCTGCAAAGTGAGACTTCCGACATGAAAAGAAGACATTTTGCCGCGCGAATGAACCCATTAACAGTGACACTGTACTGTTAGAAAGTAGCTCCCAACCCAACCAAAGAGAGTGAATGCTTCAGGATTCTAGTGCGATTTTTGTAAGAGTTCCAAAAGTTCCGTACTTTTCCCCCGTTTACCCGAGATTTTTTTTTTTTTTATCATAAGGCTTTCTTTGGTGCTTGCTACCTAATAAAATAATAGGTCATGAATAAAGGAGGGGCTTGGAGGACAAAGCACGTAAGTGCAATTTTTGCTGTTTTGAGAAATTCCTACATGTTTGAAGTTTCAAAATTACGAGGATCTTTATGGATGAGAGAAAGTTCAAACTGACTTTTTGATGCTTAAAAATTGGAATTAGGCAGCTAATTTTTTACAGAATATGCATTTAGACTAGTTTTACTTGAAATCATTAATATCTCAATTTTTTTCAAAAACTGCACTTATGCGACTTGTCCTTAAAGCCCCTCAAATGTAATTTTTTATCCAACTACGAGAAAATTCTACAGTTTTTGTCTCTTTCTCTGAATTATTAAGTTGCAAATTGCTTTTTCTTCCTCCGGTGCCTTCCTGACTCAAACTTACATCTTTCGTTGATTCAATTCTGAAGTGATCTTTTATTTTAAAAAAATAACTGGTTGTTCAAGAGGAAAATAGGACTCTGAAATAATTTTTATTCGATGGTCGAAAATCTATAGGTATGTTTAGCTGCTTCGTAAGTATTGTACAGATAGAATACAATTTTCAATTGTATAGTTTTTGCATATCAATTCATGGACTAACAATAAGTAGGTACATATTTGCAATTAACAGCCCATTTATCACTACTCATCGTAGGTATTTTTTGCTGCATTGGAGCTTCGCCATGATAATGCACGACTTTTTACGTTTAGTTACGGATATTTTCAGAAACGTTGCCATTGTATTCTGCCGCGCTAAGGAAAAACGCCGTATGAGCGAGCATTGAAATGTTAAGAAATTTTTTGAGAAAGTTACGAATATTTTACCTTGAAATTGTCAGGCACATCAGATCATATTTCGAAGAAAATTCTTTAACAAATCAGAAGAAAATTATTCACAGATTTTCTCGAAGAAAATTTGGCAACGCCTGAAAGCTCATGCGACGTTCTTTCTTGGCACGGCATCATAGTGATCGGGTGCAAGAATGACATTGCCCTGGTAAAAATTTGCGATAAGAGCTGCGTTTCAAAATACCATAGGAATTCTTATAGCCGGCTAAAGAAGGCTACAGAAAATCATATAGCTGGCTGTAGAATGCGGAGAAAATCATGCGGCCGGGCTATACGAGGCGATAAAAAATGATGCAGCCGGGCTATAGTTCCTATCGCCTGGCTGTTGCTTTTTCGCCATCGATTATAAAAGGCTATAAGAAATTGTGTAGAAATTCGTGTGCTTTGGAAATCATTAAGTTTGATATGGAACCACCTTAATATTTACAAAACACACGTTATATTTTCCTTTAATACATATTTTTTTTCATCAATTAAAACGAAAATAATCCATACAAGATGTGCGAACATTTCAAAATCATGAGTTGAATAACGCTGACTCCGCCAGATTAAATATTAGAGCGTGACACAAAACGGAGCGGCGACGCACTGGCGCCTACAAACCTAACAGGGATACTTCACGCATTGCGCAACGCGTGAAGTATCCCTGTTAGGTTTGTAGGCGCCAATGCGCGTGTCGCGCTGGCTACCTGCCTGCCGCGTCGCAGCGTGCCACGGCGCTTGAAGCAACTATTTCACACCAGAGGTATTGCACAGTATCATACGAAACTGAAGGCGCTCTAATATATTAGGAACGGCAGGCATCCATCAAAAGTACAGAGCTTTCCTCGCAAAATAAATCAAGATACTACGGCCCAAAAAGAGAGCAGTGGTCCAAAAACTCACTAAGTCCTAGCATCCGTAATTAGTGACGTTTAGCATACACTTTATCGCCTGGCTGTGAGATGCTTAGTCACCATCGGATATAAAAGGCTATAAGATATTGTGTAGACGGCTATAGAAGCTATTGGAAATCTTACAGCTGACCGTAGGTCTATGGTATTTTGGAGCACAGATTCTACTGCCAATTTTTACCAGGGTGAAGCAACGTCGCCGCAATTTTGCTTCGCAATGTTACAGCCCCTTCCAGCGGCCCGATTATTGAATCTGTGTCAGCCCGACACAAGACATAGCTCTATCTTAACCATGCAATATATCGCAATTCGATGTCTTATCGGGCTGTTTTAAACCTTCAATAATCGGCTCGCAGGGCGGGACTGCCACTCTGCCGTGCTAAGGAAAAACGCCGTTTGAACATTCGAGAGTTGCCAAATTTACTCCGATAAAATGTTTATTTTTGAGGGAAATTATGACTATTTTTCCTTGAGACTTTCAGAATCTATAGGTGAAATCGCGAACAAAATCATCTGAGAATTGGGCGGAGAATATTCATGAGTTAACCAGAAAATTCGCGTTTCATGATAGGAAAGGCAACGCCTGAAGGTTCATACGACGTTCTTCCATAGCGCGGCATCACTGAAGAGGCACATGCTCTACTTACGGACAGTGCAAACGCACTCAAATCTAAAATAGAACAAAGCGAGTTATTCACGCGATCTCACCTGACGAGAAGCTTCAAAAAGCAGCCAAAACCACGGCAGGTGGCTACTTCGGCCGTGTAAGTGACGGTCATCGCGCTAGTTTAGTCAGCGACAGAGAAACTATAATCAAATTTCGGGACGCGTGACCCAGGGTCCTCCTCGGGTGTGCCGCGAAAATTTTAAAAGGAAGTACATTTCTAATTGCCATAAACATATACAACAAAAACAGAACAAAAATAACGAAAAACGAATACAGCACGCTCCGAAAAACCGAGGACCTTCCACTCGAAAGTGATGCTAACTAGAGATTAACGATAAGCTTCGGGGTTCGGTCGGATCGGGATAAAATCTGGAAGGACGGAAATGTATCACGAATAAAAGGACCGCACTGTGGGAGAGATTAAAATTTTCAGGAAAAGGGACACCATTGTTCCGATCACAGCTTTATCAGCAGGGATTTTCACACCGACGAGGACACCGCGGCCGAAATTTTCTCGGCCCCCGAAAATTCAGCCTCAACTTGCGCATGTCTGAAACAGAAAGAAAAAAGAGATGATAGGGAGGTTATACAAAAATTCGCAACTTTCCCGTGTAATATACAAAAACCTGGGCCATATTTCCAAAATCTGAAGAGAGCGGGCTCATCTAGAGACGATTGCCTATCCTTCCGCGCTGGGGGAAAACTCCGTATGAGCCTTCAGACGTTGCTATATTTCTCTCAATAAAATTTGGATTCATGGGGAAAATTGAGAATATTTTTCCTTAAATTTTTCGGAAAATTTTGAACGCAATTTAATCTAAAATATCTAAAAATTTCGAGGAAAAATATGTACGACTTTTCTCAAAAATACATGTTTTATCCGGGGAAATTTGGCAACTATCGAGTGTTCATACGGCGTTCTTCCTTCGCACGGCAGTATCAAAAACCGCGACAATCATGAAAATTGGCCCGGTAGAACGCTAGAACTAAGCGTTACCAGAAATGAAACTTTAAAAGGCTTGAGAGTTTATAGTTTAGATAAAAACATGTGCACTTCAAAAAAATTAATAAATAAGTGAAGAAAATCACGGAAAAGCACAGTATTTCAATGCGTCTGTGCTAGTAAACCGAGTACAATATGTGGCCGCCTATGGGAGGAGGAACTGTCGTTCTAAATCTATGCTGTCATAACAAGGAAAAACACCGTATGAGCCGTAAAAAGGAAAAAATCCAAACGAGGGACAACTCGTTAAAGTAGGCTAAAGGAAACTCCAGGTACAAATCGTGCTCGGATACCAAATTTGTTGCCATCTCGATAAGCGGGCACATCATACATACATACATTAAAAGTATCAAAGAATTTTTCGAAAAATTGACAAGGTCGCGATAAAAATCAGTGATTCATCGGCATAGTGAGCAACGTTCGAATTAAGTCAAAGCGTTAAACAAACCAGCAAAGCACCCTAAGTTAGTGCTGGAATGCGACGAGTACCTAAATAAGTAACTTTCATTATAACGCCTGATGAATGCAACTATTCGAGCTCAACGGATGTCCGTGTTGCATACGCACGAAAGTGTAGGCGTTTTGACTCTCCTGAAGCTAATCGCTTCACTTGCAACGCGATCGAAAATAACAGGGCGCCTTCAATGTTTTGTTTATACTACAGGGACATCTCTCTAGCACGAACAGTTGCTCTTCAAATCATGCTTGGCACATTGCACGGTTACCATAATTTCTTTGTATTAAAATTCGATGACTTTTTTCGCTTTTCCCTGACTCCGAACTTGTCTAATTTCCTGACTTAACCTGATTTTCGCACACAAATTTTCACTATTTTTCCCTCCTTTTTCCCCCGGTTTTTTTCAATACGCTGATTTTCGCTAAACTTTGGGCAAAACTTCCTTGCTTATAGAGATCAAATTATGGAGGAAGACATTCAGCGGCTAGTGAAAAACTGACAAGCCTTCAAAATGACTCGAAAAGGTAAACAGTTGGAACAGTGATGTTTCATTAGTGATCAATAGACTTCGCGCATTGCGCCAAACACAGTGCCGACTTGAAACGCATATTAGCGCCTACAAGACTCATGAAATACTTCACGCATTGCGCCAAACAGACTTGAAACGCTTACCTATCAGTGCCTAGAGGGCTGCTGTAGAAATACTTCACGCATTGCGCATACACCACGGTGCGCACTTTTATAGTTAAAAATTCGTAATTTCTTGGTGTTAGACCTGTCGCCCGCGGTGTGCACAATACTGCCGTGATAAGGAAGAACACCGTATGAACATTCGAGAGTTGCCAAATTTCCCTCGATAAAATGTTTATTTTTGTAGAGCGTTATAAATATTTTTTCTAGAAATTTTCAGGAAAAGGTGAAATTGTGTCAGAAATTCACCGACTTTTCACAGGAATACCCTGACTTTTCCCGGTTGCCACAGATTCCCTGACTTTCCCAGTTTTCCAGACCACCGGCAACCCTGTGTTGTGATGTACCAGTAGCGAGGCGTAAATGATCGATTATCGATATTTCCCATTGAGTCAAAGAGTCAAATAAGAATAGTATAATAAAAATAGTAATTATTTCTTTTCTTTTCTATTTTGTCTTTTTTTTTCTTCCTCCCCTTAAGAGTCCCCCTCGTGTAATTTGCTCCGTTGTAATCCCCTCTCTTTGCGGACTTGGTTTTGGCCCGTTGGCGAAGAGCTCCCCCGAAAACACTCCTTTTTCGAGAGATTTTAAATCGACGATGATAATTATTTTTCACTGCCAAAAGGGGGCAGCAGTGCTTCCTCCACACCCGCCTTTTCCCCCCTCACCCTCTCAAGTGGAAGAAGGAAGATATTGAAAACTGCGGGCGCGACTTCAAACACGGGGCTGGCGACAAGGGACGTAAATCTTGTATTAATTATTCGAGGGGTCACGCGGGTTCCTCAACCTGCCTTTTCTCGCTTCGTCTCTTATTCAGTGACGCATGTCCCGTGTCTCCGTTCCTTGATCCCTGGCGCGAGCACCCATACCCTAGGCGAGACAGGGACCAGGAGAAGGGGGTCAAAATCCCTTTCTTGCATGTCCTCAGTTTTCCCGAGTCGCTTAAAAGCACCACTTCGCATAATTCGTTACCGCAATTAAAACGCGTTGTTCGTCTGGATTGACGATAAATTTTCCTGGTAGGGCCTCGCAGAATTTGCAGGGGCCAGTTCTGCCGTGCTAAGCAAAAACGTTGCATGAGCGTCCAAATATTGCCGAATTACCTCTCAGAAAATATCTATTTTTGAAGGAGGTTATAAATATTTTTCCTTATAATTCTCTGACTTTTCAGATAAAATGTCGAACAAAATCCTCCTAGGTATCCGAAAAATCTGAGGAGAAATATTCACAAATTTTTCTGAAAATCCGTCGTTTGCAAAAAGGAACCAATTGCATTACAATGCTGCTAAGATTGGTCAACTTTGCAATAATATTCTTGAAATTATGCAAAAAATTAAATTTACAAAGGTAATTTCCGACTCGAAAATATTGTTCATTGGAAGTAAAGATAAAACTTATTTAGATTATCAGTTTCTTTTTGCAAGGTAAAAAAATGTGCACAATATTAGCAACATCGGAATGCGCTCGGTTTCTTTTTGCAAAATGCAATTCTCTTATTTACTTGTAGCATTTTTCAACACAGAATGTCTTACCTCAAAGAAGCTGTAACATGTTTAATAACACACCGGAACAGTTTTAATATGATTTGGAGTTTAAAAACTTCCTAAATATATGAATTTACGAGCTCTAAATATTAAAGTATTGTTTCTATTTAAAAAAAGAAAAAAAATCACTGCAACTAAGGCGGAAAAAGTCAAGCATAAACCATCAAAAGACCATATAAATCATATTATAGACCATATTTACATTTAATTAAAATTAAAAACTACACATTAAACCCGGTGTTTGAATTAGTGTAATTTTTGCACAAAAAATCGCGAAGCCCTTGAATGCGGAGGAAACGTTGCACCTAGCAGCGCGCAGCGGCGATCGTTTGGTGACGCTTGGCGGCACGGACTGATCAGTGGAAACAATTCAATTACAACTTGAAAGCGGCATTGAAAAAAGATAAGTAATAGATAATTCTAATGGATAACGCCGAGGCGCTTTTTTTTTCTCACAAATACCTGAGCCAGCGCGGAGAGGATGAATTACTGGGAAGGGAACTTGACTTATCCTGGGGCGTTAATCTGAGTGCCGCAAATGGCACGCATCATTCCGCGCGCTGCGAAAAATTTAAGTGGATCACTTCCTCCCCTGAGCACTGAGTTATCATTTCAGCTCTATTCCACTCGCACAAAAGTAGGTGCCGCCGCAAGTCCACAAAAATCATCAGATTTTCCATTAGACTCGCACATATCCATGTGAGAGCCTATGCGTCTGCATTTAGGCTTAAAAAAACTATGTTAAACGCAAACCTTATGCACATCGCTCCTTTAAGCCACCGAGAAAAAAAATACGGGTATTCTACAGGGTGTTCGGAAGTAACCGTAATTGACTTTCAGGATCGATTGATCAGCTCAATTTTTTTTTTTTTTTTTTTTTTTTTTTTCTTCTACTTCAAATAGCCCACAAGGGCTAATCCCACGCTTTAAATCCCATCCCCCCTGCGTCCCTACTGAAGCAGCCCCAGGCAACTATTGTTTGAGAGCATCAAACTCGGGTCGCCTGGCCGGGAATCGAACCCAGGACCTCCTGATCATAGAGCAAGCGCTACAACCACTACACCATAGGAGGCCGACTAAATATGACTATTTTTTCCCATAAACATATGCCTGAAAACGCCTGGAGCAAGGGGCTCCGAAAATCCCGAAGCTGTCGCGACGACTCTTCCTCGCTCCTTGCTTTGTAGGCAATTTTCTTACAGTTCCTGTATTGAAAATTGCCTACCCAGCAAGGATCTTCGAAAATCCGGAACTTTTTCTAGGCCCTGTTGCGTCCGAAATGACGAGTCCTGGAAAATTGTGTGCAATGCTTTATGCCCTGGATTTTTTACGCCCTTTTACGCGCCGTAATCCATTTTTCCAAATATCATCTACCAAAAAAATTATCCCAATTTTAAAATTCGGAAACGCTCGTAAGGTCATTTTCCGAAGACGTACGTCCGTGAAAACACAAAAAATGAACAGTGCGCTAAAAATATCCCTCCGCACAAAGTTTCAGCTAATTACGACTAAATAACGAGAAGTTAAATCAATTTGAAAGAACAAAAAATGACAACTTTGGAAACGCATAGCTCACCTATGAGGTGTTTTCGGGCACATGTGTACAGGAAAACTATGGCTCGTCAAATATTTTCCCATCGTCCTGCAAAATTGTCAGTTTGCAGATAGGCGGTAATGTTCCTTACGCTAACAGCTCTACTACGTACAAAATATCAAAATATGACTCGTCTTAAGTATATTTGGACCGTGTTAAGTAGAAAGGAACCAAGCCACATCAGCTATTGCCAAATTTCTGGGCAATTTAATTCGTTACATAAAACGGTTGTGCAGATTTTTGTGCAAATTTCAGTGAATTTTCTGCATTGTGCGAAGCAAATTCCTTGACATTTTCGAAAGAATCTGGGCAAGCGTTCTCTTGTGAAACATTTAATTGCCCGGTTAAATTTGGCAACAGCTGATGTGGCTTCGTTCCTTTCTGCTAAACGCGGTCCATTTAAGTACGGTTCTTCCGACAAAATGTGGGCCCTGTCGTTCCTGGCCTGACTCAATGGTGAAGAATTGTTGAGATGGAAAATTTGAAATACATGTATGGAAACTCAATGGAAGTGAATTTCCTTCCATGATCTAGGAGGTTGAGAGGAATGGTGAAGTCTCATTAGAGTGATAATTGACTGACGGCATGTTCGAGTTAAGTACGAGTTAGAATCATTAAGTATGATGTAACAGCGCGACGCACAGTAGATCGAGTCAATAGGAGAGGTCGGACAAAATTTGGATACTTTAAAAGCTTGTAACACCGTTTATACAAAACGTTTAGGTTTTGAAAGTGGTTCCATTGGTTTTATCGTGACATTTTCTTACAGATCCGCCCGTTAAAATTTAAAATGTGACGAATCAAGCATCAAAATTTGCAGTTTTAGTCAAAAATTTTATGTCCGACCTATCTGATTGACTCGAGCCACCGTGCGACGCGACGCATGGCAGTGGTATCGACTGGGAGGAAAAAAGAAACAACAGATTTGAGTCGAGGACACTCCGCCGTCACATTCATCCGTGCTAAGGAAGAACGCCGTATGACCCTCAAGACGTTGCCAATTTTTTTTTATAAAATACGAATTTTCAATGAAATCAGTGAATATTTCTCCTGCAAATTTTCAGAGAATTTTATTTGCACACAGATTTAAATTATCTGAAAATTTCAAGAAATAGTATTCACGATTCTCATTAAAAATACAAATTTTATTGGAGGAAATTTGGCAACTCTCGAATGTTTATACGACGTTTTTCCTTGTCAGCACTGTAGCACTGTCCGATGTCCGTCGCTCATCGACAGAGACAAGAGACCCTCCGCTGGCCTCCTAGCGACAGGTGGAAGCTTTTACTTTCGGGGTTTCAACAATTCCTTATGGACAATTATGAGCGAGCAACAGTCATCACCCTATTTTCGGCTGTTGACTTACCTACATGGTCGATGATGAGCTTCGGATGACGTCATAAGCCAAACAACTTTCCCAAACGTCGGCCATTTTCGGCTTGTTTGCAAAACGAAACTGCCAACACGTTGTTGAACATCAACCATGTAGGTAAGTCAACAGTAGAATGCTGAAGTCCCGAAAGTAAAAGCTTCCACCATGGCCAAGTTACTAGTGGAGGGTCTCTTGTCTCTGCTCATCGATGACGTATCCGAGGGGCATGTCCATATCGTCAGTCCTAACTTCCGAGTCATAGAATAATAGCTACCAGAAGGGCAGCAGTCGGCCATCTTGGCTCCGATTGAAGAAATAGAAATCCACGCGACCCCCGCTTAGCCTGCCGTTTCAATTTCCGCGGGGAATCATGCCCAAGGCCGCTTTGGTCTCGGTCGAGAAAGATTTGCACGGACTCCTGGATTTTCCGATCTAAAGGGATTATTGGTATGTTGAGGAAGAAGCGTTGGACAATATTATAATGATTAACCATGAGCCCGAATGGACCACTAGACAAGGTACGAATTTAAGCAATCTGATACATGTTTCTTAGCCAGAATTTCACGTAAAACACGATTCTTACAACGAAAATTACTGAAACCGACTCCTAACAAAGATATTAACGTTTTTATTTCACATTGGCTACAAGGAATTTGAACTGCCCGTTCACAAGAAACTCAAAGCTCTACGCGAGTCAAATCGCGCACTACAACGGTTTCTGCAAGCCTCTCAATCGAGCAATGTTCATTTTCCACCATGTGTTGTTCAAACTATAAGCTATTTACTACAGCTGAGCCAAAGCGTCAAGATTGAGGTTGCCAGATTTTTACATCGCAGAGACTGTCATGATAACGTCTAGTGCGCGATGTGAATCACGTAGAGCATTGAGTTTTAATGAGCGGGTGGTTTGAATTCACGCATCAAGAATCATCAAATATCTTAGTAAGGAGTTAATTTCGGTAATTTTCTATGTGCGCATCGTGTTCTACGTGAAATTTTAGTTACGAAACATGTATCAGAATGCTGAAATTCGTACCTTGTCTAGCGGTCCATTCCGATGTTATTCCTCAGGATGGGGCCCCGGCCCCGGTCTCAGGGCCACTTTTCCTCATAAGCGTCTTCACGAGACCCAGTGGCCATACTCTCCCTATCAATGTACTCTAAAAGCACAGGTAGGTACGTGAGGAGTTGCGAAATTACTTCAATGAGCCGGTTGATGAGCAGTGGACGTAGTGGAAACGTGTGGAACTCAACCGGACCAAACAAGGAATATCTCAAGAAGCATGCAGTGCTATCCACGCTCACCTCGGGCTAAATCGTCGTTCCTCCGGGAAAGAACGTAACTGCAAGTCAACGTTGCCAAATTTCCTCTCGCATATTGCATTTTTACGAGGAAAATACCGGAAACTTCTGACTAAAAATTTTTCTAGATTTTTCTTTGATCTCATGCAAAAATCAGGCAAGTTTTGAACGAGAATGGACCACTAGACAAGGTACGAATTTCAGCATTCTGATACATGTTTCTTCACCAAAATTTCACGTAAAACACGATGCGCACAACGAATACTACCGAAATCAACTCCTTCCGAAGATATTAATGATTCTTGGTGCGTGAATTTAAACCACCCGCTCATGAAAACTCAATGCTCTATACGTGATTCACATAGCTCGTAAACGTTATCATGAGCGTCTCTGCGATAAAAAAATCTGGCAACCTCAATCTTGACACTTGGGCTGAGCTATAGCAAATTACTTATAGTTTGAAAAACACATGGTGGGAAATGAACATTGCTCGATTGAGAAGATTGCTGAAACCGTTGTAGTGCGCGATTTGACTCACGTGGAGCTTTGAGTTTCTTGTGAGCGGGCAGTTCAAATTCCTCGTAACCAATGTGAGATAAAAATGTTGATAGCTTCGTTAGGAGTTGGTTTCAGTGATTTTTGTTCCGCGAATCATGTTCTACGTGAAATTCTGGTTAAGATACATGTATCAGAATGCTTAAATTCGTACCTTGTCAAGTGGTCCATTGCCCAGGTACATTTTCATAAAAATCGAATTTTTGAGTCGATGTTGCAACCTTGGAGTGGAGTTACGTTCCTTCACGCGGGAAACGACGAAATGGGTTAAGGTCTCATTTAGATCCGCTATTTTGAAATGGTCAAAGAGAAAGAACTCGTGAGCCCAAGCATCCATTACGAACAACACATTCCAAGGCTCATGCGTTCCTGAGCTTGCGCCTTTTTTTTTAAAATACCCGATTCTTTTATTGAGCAAATGAAGTTTTTTCAAGAGGGGGAAGTTACGATTCAACCGACGCTTATTACCGTGCGCAATTTCGCAGGAGACGGCGAACTGGTTTTGTCCGAAATCGACGCCAAAGTTGGTTAAAAAATTCTCAAAACT